CTTAGCCGGACTTTCGTGCGATCGGTGGCGTTTTCATTGCTTTGAAAAGTTGGTTAGCAGGAATTGACGGAAAATGTATTTTGATTATTCAATGGAGTAATCAGTTTTATGTACAGAATTATCCTAATTTTATTGGCGATATATTTTAGTACCCACAGTGTCCTTGCAAGATTTATATATCCCTGTCTTTGGCAAAGAGTTAGAATATTACGCAAATTTGATTATATTGCTACATTTTCAACTCATATCAAGCAGAAACAAGAACCGACATTTGTTTACCTGACGAACAACAGAATGTTGTTGAAATCTCCATTAGTCATGAATGTAGTGCAAACTGAGTTAAAGGGCCGATTTCACATTATTTCTGACTGAAACTGCTGCTACTTGTTTCAGTTAATAATTTGGAACAGAAAGAAACAATTTTAGATTGATGGACGAGATTAAAAAATATATATTCCTGTAGTACTCAATAACCTACTCTCAACCACAGTGATTTCCAGCTCAGAGACAAGTTCTTCATTGGATTCTGTTAGGACCAGATCAAATAAATTAGATCAGATAAATACTCAAATTTTTCGAAATGCTTACACCCCCTCGCAATTTGTGCCAATCACTATCCTGTGCAAGATGATTGAAAAATGGCTCTTCTGTGTGGTAAATTGCACTTACTATCGTGATTTAATTATTCTGGACATACTTCCGTCTGATGGACCAGTGTAAAACTCATTCACAGTTCAAATTTGAATCTACAACCATTCTGAATTTATTGTGATTTCTGGAGAATCAAATTTAATTTTCAACGCCCTGTATCTTTTGCAAGAAATACGGTCGGTTAAATCATGGCAAAGTTGCGCAATTTTATGCCTGCTAAATCAACTCCTACACGGAAAACGCTATTTGACGACGACGTAAGTCATTTTGGCATCGATAAAAAGGGATGCATCTTTTTTATCGCTGATAAGCTGCCTGCTCCTTTGATCTAGTAGCTATTTGCGCCTGATGTCACTCCAATTTCTGTCGTGTCAAGTTTGATTGATGGGTATGGTTCACGCGTAAATTAGCAAGATGAGCCGTCTGAAGAAACCACAAAAATATGAGAGAATCGATTCCGCAAACTACCAGTTACACGGAATGATCAATTCTGTTTGCAAATAGCAATATGGTTGTAGAGTAGATATTGCTATCATAGCAAGATTCGAAAAAGTGGAATTCTAATCATAGATTTTTGGCAATATGATCTGTCAATTTCAATGACATCTGGTCAGCTTTCTTGCTATCTCGGCAACATCAATTTTGTGCTTGCTCTTATAATAAGGTAGTGGATTCTTTGTTTTTCCACTACAAATTCTTCCAACTGTATGAAAATTCAGAAAATAGTGGATTAAAAACATATGAGAGTTCAGTTGTGACACTGACTACTCGAAAACCTTTCCTCAAAGTTTCAATTCGTAGAAGAATTATTGAAAAACTTATAATGGTGATTACTACAAACATATGGGATAGGTTCACTACTGTGACCAACTACTTGAAAACCTTTTCTTGAAGTTCCAATTTGTAGAGGAAAAATGAGACTATACAATTTCGGCATATCAGAGAAATTTCAGTTACCTGATGGATAGTTTATCAAGCTATTTTGCTAGAATATTAAAAAAGCACGATTATTTTCATCCGGCTTTTAGTTGTTTTCTCATTTCGAGGACATGATTGATTACTTGCCAGTCGCACAACGACGACTAGATTCAGCAAATACAAAATCTCTCGATTTGAACCATATAATTTTGTAAAATGTCAGCGCAGGACTGACTAATTTGAGAGGTTAGAATCATGAACTCTTCTTCTTCATGAAATAATGGCAAAATCGATACCTAACACTTAAACAATGTGTTGAAAACAGTGTTGTCAGCTCAAAAATTCTCAATTATTCAACAATATTGCTATCACTTGAACTTATAACCAGTCTTGCAGTTACTCTGCAAACAGAATACAGAACTTCATAGCAATATTGTTATATGTTATGATCATAACAATGTTATTAGCAATGTTATAACAAGATCCGAACAGAATCGACTCGAAATGTCGTTGATTTATCTTGCCAAAAAACACTCGAACTTTTTTGTGAATTGGATAAATTTCCTTACTAACTCAAACATTTTCCATCAGTTATTTCTCTCAAAAAACTGACATTAGACAAAATTGCTCGACCTATGGACTTGCAATATTTTCATATCAGTTTTTCTCGTAAATTTACTAATCTGCAAATGTTTTTCATTACCAAGAGAAATGTATCCGATAAAAAATCTCTTGTATTTTTACTCTTGACAAAATCCTGTACTGAAACTTGGAAAATTGCGCATACTTACGGAGATATACGAAAAACAGTTTATTTCCTTTCTTCAACTTATTTGAAGGAATTAATATAAATTGATCACTTTATCATGGCCAATTTTTTTCCCTACAAGTCGGCATTTTAAAATTTGATATCAGACGTTTCGTCTTCCAGAAACCATCATCGAATAACTTTTTTCTAAATACGGACCTGGATTTATTATTCCATTTTTCATCCCTTTGAATTTCCCAAATACTATGAGCTATCACGAATTTCAATTTTCTAATGTTCCATTTACAAAAATTGACATTCGAAAATACAAATTTGTGATAGCTCTTAGCATTTGGGATATCCAAAGGTGAAAAAACATGAAATAAAGAATTCAGGTCTGTACTTTGAAAAAATAAGTTGATGGTTTCTGGAAGACAAAACGTCGGATTTCAAAATTGAGAGCACTGACTTTTAGGGGGAAAAAAGTTGCTATGTTGAAGTGCTATTCATTTCGATAAATTTCTTCAATTAACTTGAAAAGAACAATGGTTTTAGGGAATTTCAGTTTTTTCGTATATCTCCGAAAGTATCCGGAATTTTTCCAGTTTCAGAACGGCATTTTGTATGGCATAAGATTGCTAAACTTTGCCACAATTCAACCGACCCTGTACCTCTTACGGTTTACGAGATCCCAATAATGAGGCTCGAATTCCAGCCACCCTGTACATATCATCTGTTGCTCAATGGCGGATTAGTTTCCAGACACAAAATTAAGAAAATATTATCATGAAATTTGGACATAATGATCCGAATCACAAGAGGTTCCAATTCTGTAAAAAATGTGTGAAATCAAGGAAGGTATATAATAATTATTATTAAATTTCAGATTTTTAGACAGAATCACAAGTAATGTTCAGTGATTACCTTGTCACGTGTGAATTTCATTGACTGTGATCGAGGTAGGAATTACTACTAGACAAAAAAGTTCTCTCGAAGTGAAAAAACTATTAGGTCTTGCAGAATTGATATAAAAATTAATCTTCACATGAACAATTCTACAGGGTGTTCCGTTGAGAGACAGAAATACTTTAAAGGTGGATAGAGCGACCAAGGTGGTTCTGAATATACCATATATGTTGGGTCTTACAGGTTTCATTATCGAGATATAGGGTGTTTTATCAATTCTGGTCATTTCTTTGAAGGCTCATGGCATACGAAGCACCTGGTATATTTTTTTGATATTTGATAGACGTATTTTCTCACTGCTACCCCAGCGACTTGTATATCCGCCAGAAGAAAATTCCAGGCCCGGATTAACAAAAATTCAACATATTATTGGGTCCTCGAGAGATTCAGTAGTGAAATAGCATGCGGAGACATAAAAAGTACACAAATCCATTCAACATTTTGTGCTCTCTTCAGATATGTAAGCAGATTTTGTAAATTCAAACAAACAGGGTGTTTTTTCGAGGACCCAATAACATGTTGAAGTTTTGTTAATCCGGGCCTGGAATTTTTTTCTGACGGATATACAAATCGCTGGGGTAGCAGTGGGAAAGCACGTCTACCAAATATCAAAGAAATATACCAGGTGGATCGTATGCTATGAGCCTTCAAAGAAATGTCCAGAATTGATAAAACACCCTATATCTCGATAATGAAACATGTAAGACCAAACATATAGGGTATATTCAGAACCACCTTGGTCAGCTCTATCCACCGTTGAAGTATTTCCGTTTCCCAACAGAACACCCTGTATAAAAAATAGCAAAATGTTTAGTAGCAGCCTTCAATCAAATTATTATCAAAATATATACGGCATACCAATTTTTCAAGATACTGTCGAAATTCCGATTGCATTGAAATTTGATAGGTCACCTTTTTACTTATTTCAGCTTACTCAGTCTATATTTATCTCGTTTCCATTCTTTTGTACAGATTTGCTTAGGTATATACACACATAACAGAAAAATAAATTATTTCTTGTACAAAATTTACAATTTCTTTACAAGTTTAAAATTGTAAAATCAAAACCTAACAACAAACAAAAAATATAACAACATATACACACACACCTTGTTTCTGGTCGACACACACCTTCATAACTCACTGAACCTCCGGTGGCAGTTTACGTGAATTGTTTGTTACAATAATTAAAATGGTTCTTTTCAAACTTCGGCGAAGTATTTTTCGGTTCATTCTAGAACGTCATTTCTAAAAATTAACCTCTAAGTATCACAATGGTTTTTATACACATAAAAAAGGATTTTTAAATATTACAAGTAAAAATATAAATATATACAACTATCTTGAGAAAATATCAACAATAATGTAACGTCATGCTTGAGTATTTTTAATAATTCGTTCTTAAGGACACATTGATGATTTTCAATAAAATTCTATGATAAAATTACGACGAATAAAAAAAATCACATAATTGACAGAAAAAAACAGCAATTTTAAAATTGATAAAAACCTAGTTTGACAAATCAATTATTTGCTATTGAGCAAAATGTGGCCAACGATCATAAGATACAGTTTTGGCATCTTCAAAATAAATTAAGAATTCGAAATGGTACTCATTTCGTTGCAATTTCAATGAGACAATGAGGCAGTTGAGACCTCTGGTGAGGTGAGGAATTTCTATGATTTCAGGTAAATAAGTACGGAGCGGTTCAATGAATTATAGAAGAGCGGCCGCCGTATTGTATAATTGGACTAAAACTTGCATATGTACTGGTAAGCATGATAGACGGTCTCTCGTGTTGGAATCCAGGGCTAGCCACGATAAGGCATTGTAACCTTCGAGGACATACCTGAAAAAAAAACAACAACATTGCTATCATGTGATTTATTCTGTCAACGAAAAATGTGATGGACTAGAATTCGATGTGGCAAAGCGTAACTAAAATTGAAAAGCAATCCGAGATACTTTCCATTTCCGTACACCACCATTTCCAGCTATATTTCAGAATGTGACGATAGGCAAGAAGACTAATTTCACGAAAAAATACTATGACCTTCATCACGATGAGAAAAGACAAAGAGAATTATTTTTAATTTTGTATTTTCTTCTAGATTTCACACAATGAATTCAGTGAAATATACTGCTCGTCCGTGGAACTACACACAACCGGAAAATAATATCAAGACAAGATAAGTTGAAAATCACTTCGGATTCGAAAACAGGCCGTCCAATTCACGAACTTCCTATATCTTGACGCATTATTATCGGTAACGATTTTCCTCATACTATTAACAGATCCATTCATTCATAATTCATTTAAATGACACCCGTCATGATTTCTGATCCATTGGATCACTCCTGATAATCTATGCGATTCTACTAGTTCAGATTGTTATTTCATTATCCCTGATGAGAACTGACTTCATGATTATCAATTTCAGACTAATTTTCAGATTTAATGAACTTTTCCTCCTGGAAATGTCGATGGTTCTGTGGCTGCCGGCGAGCAGTGTATCATTGAAGATGATCCTACTTGGTCATTGGTCTCTTTCTCGGTCCTAAAAATGTCAGACGCCTACGTTAATAATCAAGGAAGTTACTGGGGTGCTTCTGTGATAAGTGAGACAGAATTTAGTGATTCAGAACTGAACATTTGTTAGAAGGAATATGAGTAGTTAGTGAATTAGACGATCTGCTTTCTGTTCTCGAATCTGAAGTGATTTCCAACCTATTTTGTCTGCTAATATGATTTTCCGGACATGTAGGTGGTTCCATGGCTGCTAGCGAGCAGTGTATATCACTGATGGTAATCTCAAGTGGTCATTGACTGTATCTTAGGAATATTTCTTGGTTCTGGAAATTCAACAATCCTTACTGGTTAGTTACGTAAGATACGGGGGAGTTTCCATGAAAAGTGAGACAAATGAAATTTTCAGAACAGATTTTTTTTTTGAAAAATATGAATAATTAGAGAATTGGGCGTCCTGATTCCGATTCCGAAGTGTTTTCAACCTATTTTGCCTCCTATCATTTTCCGGAAATTGAGTTTTCTATGGCTGTTGGCGAGCAGTGTATATCACTGAAGATGACCCCACTTCGTCGTAGAGTACATTTTTGGTATATCTTTCGCTCCAGCTAATTTCAGAATCCTTACCCAACGATTACGTAAGATACAGGGGTGTTTCCATCAAAAGTGAGACACACTGTATAATGCTTCATTTAAGAATAATATAGAACTGACATGATATTAGAATCAACATAATGAATCCCTGTTATGTTATTAGAACAACTGAACTGATCATATGATATACCCAGTAATCATAATATATAACAATTCTCCACCTCTTGAATTATTATACATGAAATGCTTTATTTCAGAATAAAATAGAACTTACATGACATTAGAATCAACATAATGTATCCCTCTTATGTTATTGGAACAACTGAACTAATCATATGATATACACAGTGATCATAATATATAACAGCCATCTTAACCGATTCCTTATTTTCTTTGGATACTCCAACATTCATCGTTCTCTAGATTAAACTGATCTCAACAATGTCATAGATGAACTGAACAAGATAGTTTAAAACTTACTTGTTTTTGTTTTGACCGATTCCTTATTTTCTTTGGATACTTCAACATTCATCGTTCTCTAGATTTAACTGATCTCAATGTCATAGATGAACTGAACAAGATAGTTCAGAACTTACTTGTTTTTGTTTTGACCGATTCCTTATTTTCTTTGGATACTTCAACATTCATCGTTCTCTAGATTTAACTGATCTCAATGTCATAGATGAACTGAACAAGATAGTTCAGAACTTACTTGTTTTTGTTTTCTTATAATTGGACATAGACATTAGTGATGTCATCAGAATTTGATGTTCATTAAAATGGCAAATATTCTAGCTAATCTTAAAACTATTGGAATACTCTGGAGTTCAGAATAAATAGAATGTGATCAGCAGTGAATTACCAATAAACAATATATACCTACTACATAGTAAATTTGAATAATTGCATTCCTTGCACTATCTTGCACATAGGATCAATTCAGGGATTTTATAGAGACCTGGCAACACTGACATCACAGCTCAGTGTCGTTTGAATTGACAGGTATTCAAGTAGCATTTTCAATATTAAATACTTCATTTGTCTCCGATTTTCTCCATGAATATGTGGCCAGGATAACGGTTTCAACTTCCCTTCATAACATTATAGCGAGTAAGGGTGCGTTCCACTAGACTACTAGACAAACACAACGCTCATAACACTCGTATAATCGTTCCACATAACGATCACGGTCGTCATGTGCGTGCTGAATACGTCATAAATGACGTCAATGTTTTCGATCACGCCGTGCTCACGGCGATCCATGTCTTGAGGTGGGTTGATGTGGTTGTCTGGTTTTTTGTAAACAAATGTGAATATTCAATAATGGCGACCGAAACAATAACATTCCAGTAGTCAATCAAAATGATACAAGATATACATACCTAAAATGAGTTTCAAATTCAGCATCTGAATAATGATTAATAACTTCCATGTAGTTGAAAATACGAGGACGACGCTGCCGTTTACCTCGTTCTTGCAATATTGCTTACCATTTTTCATCTGAACTAGATGAACTGGAGGATTCAAAAGTAGTTCTTCCTCGCTTCAGTCATTAGTGCAATTATTTCTATTTTGAAATTCGTGAACAGATTTTTTTATTGATATTCACATGTCTTGCCATCGCTCATTGATCTGAGATTGTGATCAAATCGAACCCATTCCACTTGAGTGGATGACCAAATCAATCGCGAACTAGTCATACGCTAGTGGAACGGGAATAACCTCAATCGTGAGCGTGGTGCTTGCTTAGTGGAACGCACCCAAAGAGTAAAATTTTATGATACTTGTGTATTGCCTTTAGAAGAATGTAATATCACATAATTTATTGTATGTTATGATTTAATTTAATTATTTATTTATTATTTATTTGAAAGCTATAACCTTTCAAGGGGGCGGCCTTGGTGTGAGTGGACTGTATATTTGGTTGGTTGAATGATTTGATGATATGATATGATTATTTTACGATTGAAAAAGTGGTAGAAAGTACCAAACAATACTGAAGAGCCCATTGTATGATAATTCGTTCGAAGGAAACTCAGGAAACTTCCCGATGCAGAAGCCACGAGTCGGCTGTTGCCAAATTAGATATGGATACAAAATTTTATTGGAAAGACATAACTGGTTATACAAATCGAAGCCCTGAGGGGGCAGAAGGACGATCTAGCCTTCATAGCCATCTAGTGGCTTGAGTGTAAAGATGTATAAGTAGATTCAACAATCATACCTTGCGAGTAAGTCGTGCATATAGACCCCTACGTCTATATGCTTACAGAAAAGACACCATGTCAGAATTTTGTAGACTATCGCAACACCTGTAATTCTCAGAGTGGTTCAATGTTGCACAACAGATGATGATGAACCTAGAATGTCAAGACTAAGAGAGTCTAGGGAAATTTCGTGAATCGATTGTCAGCTGATGCAAGATGTTTCAGCTTGCCATAAGCCTCATCAGTTGCACTAGAATCTCTTAGTCTTGACATTCTAGATTTATCATCATCTGTTACTGGAACATTCAACCACTTTAAGAATTACAGGTGTTGCGATAGTATACAGAATTGTGACATGGTGTCTTTTCGGTAAGCACATAGACGTATGTATATGCACGACTTACTCGCAAGGTATGATTGTTGAATCTACTTATACACCTATGCACTCAAGCCACTGGATGGCTATGAAGGCTAGATCGTCCTTCTGCCATCTCAGGGCTTCGATTTGTATAATAAAGCGGTTCTCAAACTTTTTTGGTGACGGAACCCTTTTGGAAAGCAGAATACTTGACGGAACCCTACAATAAAACAATAGTATTCAAAAGTGTATAATTTTTCAATAAGAATAATAAAAATACAATAAAATATATTAAAAAAGGAAACAACTAACTGATGGGAAGTATGAATCTGTGTTTTATTTTTCATCAATTGATTGATATCAGGTTTGATAGAGGACAGTTGAAATCTCATATCAGGTTCGGCGTCCAGTCTATTGCGGTATTTTGTATTCGTGGCTGCATAGGTTGAGAATCCTGTTTCGTTGGGAACGGGAGAAGAATATTCAGAGCTATTTTGCCAAGCATTGGATATTCATCACGCATTCTGCACCAAAAATCCTTGAGAGGCGTCGTTTTGAACAGTGACTCCATACTTGTGTCTGATGACATTTCTAAAAGATATTCATATATCTCGTTTGACATACTTTCGGGCATTTGCAAGTTGGGTAAAAAAGGATTATGAATCCATGAATTCAGTTTCATTTTTGTATTCTGTTCTTCGGGTAAATACTTTTCAAAGGATGCGCGCATCGAAGTGAGATATTGGACTAATTCTTCAAACACATCATCTTGAAACATTTCTAAGTCGTTATCGCTAACAAACTCACTGAGTGACGTAAAGCTTTCTATTTCTCTCTTACCAATGCAAATTATCCAAAAATCTAATTTTCTTTCGAAGGCAGTTATTTTGTTACAGGCCTGAACACTGTTGTCTGTTTACCTTGCAATGATAAATTCAATTCCTTCAGTTTCGCAAAGATATCTGCAATAAAAGACAATCGGAACAGCCAAATTTTATCATACGAACGGTCTTTCAAATTCAAAGAAGTATCTGAAAGAAACATTTGTAACTCGGCTTCAAGTTCAAATAGCCTTGTTAAAGTTTTACCCCGAGACAGCCATCGTATGGAGCAGCGGTGTTTTATGTTTGCTGCCATAATCTTCACACAATAATGAGAACAATCGGGATTGTAGTGGTCGTGATTTGGTGAAATTAATTATTTTTACCGCTTTATCCATAACTAATTTCAGATTTGGGAGCATTTGCTTCATCGCAAGTGCTTGTCTATGCAGAATACAATGGCTGGAGCTACAATTAAGCGCTTCATTTTTTATTCGTGACACTGCTCCTGTTGTTTTACCTGTCATCGCCTTGGCCCCAGCTCCATCTGTACAAATGTCAATGGTCAGAAGGAGTCAAAACGTTCGACTAGAGAAAGGTGTTTTGATTTTTTTTCAATTCTAACGGAACCCCTAAAGGCGTATCGCGGAACCATAGGGTTCCGCGGAACACACTTGAGTATAGCTGGTATAATATATGGAGGTACCCTTCGTGAATCGATTGTCAGCTGGTCGTGAATCGATTGTCAGCTGGCCAGTCCAACTGATGAGGCTTATGGTAAGCCAAAACAGTCTGCCTTGCATCAGCTGACCATCGATTCACGAAATTTCCCGAGAATCTCTCAGTCTCAACATTCTAGGTTTATCATAACTGGTTATTTTGATACCAACAACTCACCTCAAAACGTCCGTCGTGTACTGCGAATCGAGCGGATGCGACGTCACCTGCGACTGCTGGAACAGATCGTCCGAGCTCTGCTGCACGTTGGGACTGTGCAGGTGCAACGCGTTCTTCAAGAAAGCCGGACACACGCCTTCTAGATGCGGACACGACGACCAGAACCAGCGCGGCATCTTCCCCGTCGGCGCAGTCGACACCAGATAGCCCAGCGCGAGCGGCTGCTGCAGCACCACGCCCACCTACAATTAATACATGGTCTGAATACGAATATCTAGGAATAAGGAATACGCAATCGAAATTATATTCCTTCTTCCTTATAATAACATTGGATATCATTCATTAATCTCAAATGTGCTTGTGACTCTAAAAAATTTCATTTAAATGAGGCTAAATATGAAGTCACAGGAAAACGGGTTAGTGGCCATCACTAATATTATGACGTCATAGTATTAGGCCGCACAGCCATAGACTAGCGCGACAGAATGACAAGATTCAGATGGAAAAAAAAAAGAAGAAGAAAACAGTTTTAAACGCCAAAAATTTGAAAATGGAAAATGATAATTAGTTATAAGCATCTCAGTTTATACCAAATACTGTTTAGTGCCGCAATGCCTTTCATCAACAAAAGTATCACCAGGAAAAATATTCCTTTCATTGCCAGTGGGATCGAGTGATAAAAATAAAGGGAAAAGAAAATTATGGTTGCAAGCCATAAATAGAAATGATTCATCCGAGAAAACCAGAGGATTTGTTTGTGAAGACCATTTCGAAGTGAGTATACGTTCAAGTATGTCCTAGTGAAACCCAATATCAATGATTATGTTCCTCATGTTATTAGGAGAATAATATAATATGTGATTTCGTTTTCAGCTTGAAGAAGATGTGGAGAACTATATGAGATATGAATTGATAGGTGGTAATATATATTTGAAACAACATACAAAAAGAAGTCCTGTTTGATCATTCTTATTGTATATATTTGCTTATTATTCAGTTATTATTATTCAGAATATTGAGGTCATATAATTGAGATAGATTATAGAAACTACAAGATCAGATAATCATAACCTCACTTTTTCGTCTTATATTATTTTCAATCTTTCGGACATGAATGTTTGACATGACAAATAAAAACATCTACATCCAGTCGGAAATCATCGCTGCAGTTCGGCTGTTGGTCGGAAAGTTGCAAATATTATGATTTTCAATCAGAAATTTTTAAATACTCGGTGCTTAATAATGTTTTTCGGATGTATAATTCGACATCTATACATATGAGTAATGGAACAAAAATATATTCCAGTGTAAAATTTTCACAGGCGTATACCCTATTCGGGATAGAAAATAAGGGTGCGCTGCTTTATGCCCACTAGAGTCACTGGATGGTATTAGTAGATAAGAGTTCGGACACAGCTGAACTTCTGTCCTTTTCCATTTTCTATATTGCAATGGTTTGAGTGAATAAAAGAATAATACATATATTCTGCTCTTTATCTTTTCCATTTCCCTAGTAGCACCTAGAGTTCCTAAACGTACTTGACAATGCTGTTTTGACGTTTTTTGTATTTTTAGAGTACGGACACTATGATAAGCACTGACAATCAGACATAACCACAAATAAATTGATGGAAAAAGCGGGAACTGACAGTACACGGACGTACATAAATTTCAAAGGTTTGACAATTCCAGAGAATTAGGTGGAAGATGCAAGTTTGTGCAGTTACTGCAGTTTCCAACTGTGAGAACACGGGAAATCAATTCACTCTATTCGAATTTCCATATTTCCATATAGGTTCAGGCCACAAAATTTGCGAGGTATTCACATTTCTTGGTAGGGTATAGAACATTTTTATCAGGTACACTTCAGAACAGAAGATTTGATGTTGAATAATAGGATCGTATTGAGAGAAAGAGCCGAACCCACAATTTATCAACTGAGCGAGTATCGAAAAGGGCCTTATTCCAATTCAGTACCAACAAGAAACGAAAAACTTGCAAATATTGAAATTCATTTCAAACATTTTGAAAGAAACAGACTTGAGAATCGAATTTTTAGAGCAGGAACATTCTAATATCCAAGGTTTAGGAGTGGAAGAGAGTGAGTAATTCAGGAAACAAATAGAAGAAAAAAATAGAGAGCTGGAAAATAAGTTAAAGCAAAAAGATTTAGATAATACAAAAGTCAGAGTTAGCAAAATTCAGAATTATTACCTAAAAATTATTTCAGATTTGAAACGAAATCAGAAATTGTTCCATACGAAATGAAAGTATGTTTCATTGGTTGAAATTTATCAGTATTTAACCCCATTCTGAACTTTTGTGATAAAAAATATTCAACTGAACGAATAAGAGACATATACGAGACTTATTTTTTAGCAATAGAATATGTATTTCGTTGGTATATATGTTCATACCAACTTGATATCGACCTCCATTGAGGTCCTTCAGCCTTATCATTGAATATTGCGAGAAGAAATAATGTTCTGATCAATTTATCGTACCCTTTTACCCACTCGAGGAGACGCTATGCACTGTCATAAAAAAATCAAAGACAGAGAAAGATGTAAGGATGTACTCTTCCCAGGACGTGTGGATGAAGGAAGATGCGAGAATCCTTTATGTAAGCGAAAAACATATTCTTGTCCTTGTCTGACAAAACATGATTCACTTCAAAATCGTTTGTGGTTATGTTTGATTGTCACTGCTTGTCTAGTGTCCGTACTCTAATATACAAAAAACGTCAAAACAGCAGTGTCAAGTACATTCAGGAACTCTAATCTACACATCAAATCAGCTGGTTTTCAGTGATAATGTATATTACACTACACTGAATGCAAAGGAACAAAGCTAATATCATCATTACCTCCTCGGTAGGCTCCGCCCCCTTGGCCGCGGCGCCGCCCTGCGCTGGCGCGCCCTCCCCGCCCGTGAGCCGCCCGCCACCCGGACTCGCGCCGCCCGACTCCTCGCCGCGCCGCGGGCTGCCCGCCGGACTCTGCCCGCCGCCCGGCACGATCTCCGTCCAGTTGAAGATGTCGTTGAAGTCGTTCATGCCGTCGATGCCCTCGGGCATGTCCTCGTCGAAGGAGCTGAAGAGCTCGTCGTCGCCGAGGTCGGCGGTGATGTGCTGCTCCTGGAAGCGGGAATAGGACGATTAAAAATCATCTAGTAAGTAATTTAGTAAGCAAGTAATTTATTCGACCACGTTAATGTATAAACATTTTGCAGCAAGTCAGATGAAAAAAAGTTGATAACTGAGTTATTCATGAAGTATGAGACATTAAGTAAAATAACAAGAAACAAACAACAACAAAATAAATAAAAATGAGAATACAGATGAAAATAATACACAGACCAGTTTCAGAACAAAGAAATTTTCAGGAATATTTTGTGGTCAGTGACGATCATCATATGACGGAGGAGTGTCTATATACAGTATGTTGAAGTCAATAATATTTTTAGCTCCATAAGGAAGATCAAATGTGGTGTACCACATGGTTCCGTTTTAGGTCTAATTTTATACTTAATTTATATCAATTCAATATCATCTTCGAAACCAAAAGGAGATCTAAAGTTATTTGCAGATGATACTACGATAATCTATTCCTCTAAAGAATTTATTGATATAGTTGATGATACAAAAATTGACTTTGCTACAAATTCATAAGCTGACTCTCAACAAATCTACGTATATGTATATTTCAAAAAGAAAAACTGATATATCGAAAACAACAATATTTTTCGACCAGATAGTCATAAAATATTCAGATGTTACGAAATTCTTAGGTCTTTATATTGATGAACAATTATCGGGGACTAAACATAATAATATAGATAATTTCAATTTTTCATCAATCCACATACCAAGATACTTTATTTGTGTAGTTCTTTTCATGGTTTAACAAACGGTGGAAAATTTCGGGAACTCTTTAAAATTTAATACAGGTTTTCCAAACAGCATGCCATTAGGAAGATACTTCATTTGTAAAATTAATTAATATTAGGTACTTTGGCATGCACCCCAGAGATTGGCAAAATAGAGGCATGCATGACGAAAGTTGTATTTTTTGCAAGATGGAGGTAGATTTGTTCTTTTAACAAAATACTCATGATATGGTGACAGGTCATCAAGGTTAATCTATGTATACATGTCAATATGCTGAAATTTTGAATTGATGAGAACAAACATTTCATTATCTTTAACTTATACATTTGGAGCAGGTTGAGAACGATACTTGCTAGCTGTCAACACGGAAATGTCATATTTGCTGATCTCACTTTCTCAGCTTATTCAATATTGAACCTGAGGTCAAAGTGTCGTCACAAAGAATGAATTGTGCTGTTCTCAATCAGCTTCTGAATCATGCAGAGGCGGGTGTGTATTTCACTAAGACAACTACTATCTAGACTGCTTCATGTCATATCTCAGCAACCCTAAAATCTTGGGCAAATTGCTCGCCTGAAAACGATTCTGCTCAATGCGCAAGAACCTCCACACTGTTGTTCATCACATCATGTTTCTTGGTTTTTGACAACATAAGAGTACGATATATGACAGGTCATATGTATTATTGAACAATTTTTTGATGAAAATTGAATAAACAAGGTGATATACTGCGCATGCTCAAATGCGCAAGTTCAAATGACAAAATCATCGTGACATCTAACCTATTAAGTATTAATATTTGACCAAAACCGTCTTTCAGTTCGTTTGTTATCTTTCTTGATTAATCTTTGACATGCCATTTATGGATATTAATGCACAAAGATCTAAAATACCTAATTATATCTTATTCCAGTTTTTTTTTAGTACACTATAAAATATTTATGTTTTATTTTATTGCTTCAACGCGACGAATTCATTCTTTGGTAATACTAGTCATCAGTATGGTTATCAGAGAGGTTATCATCAGGAATAATCAATTATTATTACACCTATTAAGTACGGTGCATAAAACAGGATATCAAGAATTATCATTCTTTTTATTCCAACTACTATTGCAATTTAACCAAATTTACAAATGGGCTAGGACGACTATTTTATGTTGGATATGTAATGATCAAGTGTAATTTTCAAGTAGTTTAGACTGGTATGTAATTAAGGTGGGAATATACTCTAACAATTAATAATATATCCATCAGACCTTTGCTACTAAACATGTCGGCGAAACGTAAACAGAAACAACAGAATGTCATGACCTTATGAAACGATTCAAAAGCTGGTAAATGCCATTGTCTACGATAACGCATGTCTGTGATGATTTTCATATTTGCGCATGCGCATCATGCCTCCAAAGGATAATTATTGGTTTCATATTCTTCATATTTTTAGCCTCAACCTGGCACAGTTGTTATCCATATTGTTGATATATATTATCTTCACGCTATAGTGCCGATCACACGAATCCGTTTTGCCCAAAACATATGCATAAATGACTCCTATAGACCAATTAGAATGATCCAAGAGGCGCCTGCGTGGTGAGAAACCTCTAGAGACAGGGTACAACAAATAATCCATGTGCTGGCAACTGCTTGTGTCGACTTGACTGATCTATTTCGGACTAGAGTGACTATGTGTTGAACTGTGATTGGAATTTCTCGATTCAGAATTTTGTTCCACACCTGTATGATGAAGCTCAATACATCATGCACTATAAATAAATTCTCTCTTCAAGTATTTGCGTAGCGCCTCAGAATCCCACACGTCGGTGACCTGGGTTCAATTCCTAGGATGGTCGGCTTTTTTTATTCTATTTTCTCTAGTGATTTACCGAAATATATACTTTTTGGGAAGAGGGTTCATTTATGCCCAGTGAGGTGAGAATGTTTGAGAAATGTAGTCTCCTCTCTTTTATGCAGAAGGGATATTTTCCTTCCGCCCTGGAAAAAGTACTGTGGAGGCACTTGGAGTTGAGGCCGATAGTGATTCGGTATTTCAATGATGTTTTTTTTTTTTTTCAGTATACTTGATTCAACACCAATTGAGGGTATTGAATATTATTTACTAAGATGTGAAAACATTTGTTATTCGTATTTACCGCCCATAACAGTGATTCGAAGTTACCGTCATTGCCCAAATCGCTGTGATTGGTCTCCTATACCACCCCATACATATGTTAGGGGACAAAACGGATTCGTGTAGTTCGATCTAGTGAATAGCACAACTTGTATCATATTGCACTAGAGGTCTAGATAGTAGTTCATGTTGATGGTGTAATCTTTGCATCGCCAATAATCACGAGCGTCTCCCGACACAATCATATTGGCACATCCAAGGTCAAATATGATTTGTCATATGTCAATTATGTCGAGTGGTGCAAAATAAATTGATTTTTTTGAATAGAGGATTCGATTAGCGCGTAGGAATCGTAGGAGTTATATTTTTCAATTGAGTTTATATTTTACAATTATATATTCGAAATGGAGGAAATAAAAAGAAGGTGCGAATTAATAAATGAAATGTGTGATGCATCAACGACCCTATTTGAAGACCAACATGGATATATAATTGCGATAAAATTATAGACACAATGTATGAAGGAAATACAGTTCATTTTGAAACAAAGCAGATCATTTATACTAATAAAAAAATAGAAAAGCAAGTGCGTCTACTAAGAATAAAAGAACCACAGATACTTCAATATTCAAAAACCCAAGTATTCTTGAGCAAACAGATATAATCGGTAGTCTTTCGAATAAAACTGATTTTTTGGATTTCTTCATAACCTATTCATAACAGATATTATTCTTGATATCGATAGTTTATCGATGTATTGAATATTTGTATGTCTGAAACTTATTATATTTTTCATTTGTACTAGAATTCATACTCAGTCCTATATCTTATTAATTTTCTTTGTAAATATATCCACTTTTCCTTAATAATACCTTAATTAACCCTGCAGTGGTGACCTGCGGTTTCTCAGACCGACCAGAAATGCATTTTTGAATTTTGGAGCTATCGGGCGATGCCTCCTTTACTGCTTCCCTCTAGTTTTTTCTTTTTTTGGATCTCTTCGCGCACTGTAAACCATTACGCTCTAGCGTTAGCAGGAACCTAATCCCATGAAAACATGTATGATGGATGAAGAGGATCTTGAATGGAATTGTATTTTTTAATAATATAATCTGATTTTCAATTATGCTTCCTTCGAGCAGAACCATATAAACTGACTATAATTTGATTGTATATATTTTTTTATCACAAAAAACAATTGAATGTCTCTCAGACCGACGGCACCACTCATGTTTCGTAAAACTACGTCACCACTGGAGGGTTAAAGAGTATTTTTTGTCTCGAACCAAAATATTGACGAGATTACGAAGTTGATTTCAGAAATTGGCGCCAATATTTTGCTTCATGTAGTACAATATTTTGTTATATTCGTGGGTTTTTTTGTTGTGATGAGTTTAGATCTTATCGAAGATATGATTTTATTTGTTTAAAATTGGATTGGTTGTGAGGTGTTTAGATGTATCATTTTCAATATTTTATTAGGGCGATAAAAATACATTTTTACTTGATCGGCCAAGCACAAACGGCTTCATCTTTTTTCTGTCTGTCTTGCTCCGTGGTCGGAATCGGAATCCCAGAAACCAAAACGGTCTAACTCATACTCGCGCTCGGTTCTGACGTTATGTATAGATGCCCGTAACTGGTGAATATAGTATAATATTGAGTTGACTATGCAGGAACTATAACATTTTGACCTTGGATGTGCCAAGATGGTTGTGTCGGGAGACGCTCGTCAATAAACCATGCGAACCATGACTCCCCACCTTACCTGGAAGGCGGTCTGCGAGGACTGCGTCGTCGCGCTGGTCGGGAACACCAGAATGTGCGTGCAACTGACGTCCTGCGGCGTCGACAGCTGCGAATTCACCGACGCCTGGCTGAACCGCTCGTCGGGCGTGAACCTGTCAGGCATCAGCCGCAACACCGAATCCGGCTCGAGACTGACCAAGCAGGCGCTGAGAATGCACGGCACGGCGCTCGGGTACATCATCGAGCACTGGTCGCAGATCTCCTTCAGGTGTTTGGATAACTTCAGGAGGTTCTTCCTGCTGAGCAGCCAGCTCCAGCCTTTCAGCTCGCCGTGGCCGATCCTGCCCAGTCTGCCCACCACCTGAAAAGGACATTATTTGCATGAATATTCAAGGTCGCGGTCCATGAGTTGAAATGTGACATGAAATTAAAAATAAATGAATATGTCCGAAATGCGTAATAGGAAGTTCTTCCTGCTGAGCAGCCAGTTCCAGCCTTTGATCCTGCCTAGTCTGCCCACCACCTGCGAATCGGTTTAAAATATGTGAAAAGGGCATTATTTGCATGAATATTCAAGGTGGCAGTCAATGAGTTGAAATGTGACATAATATTAAAAATAAAAAATATGTCCGAAATGCGTAATAGGAAGTTCTACCTGCTGAGCAGCCAGTTCCAGCATTTGATCCTGCCCAGTCTGCCCACCACCTACGGTTGAAAGGGTGTTAAAAGGACATTATTGATATTCAGGATGATTCATTGATATTGCACAGTTTCAAAATTGCAGCCTTCGAGTTAGAGAATGACAAAGAGTTTCAATGGAACATGTCCGAAATGCATATTAGGAGGTCCTTCTTGCTGAGCAGCCAGCACCAGCCTTTGGTCCTGCCTAGTCTGCCTACCACCTACAGTTGAAATAGTGTTGAAAGGACATTATTGAAAATATGCAGGATGATTCATTGATATTGCACTAAGTTTCAAGATCGCAGCCTTTGAATTAGACTATGACAGAGTTCTGATATGTCCGAAATGCTTATTAGGAGGTTCTTTCTGCTGAACAGCCAGCTCCAGCCTTTGAGCTCGCCGTGGCCGATAATGCCCAGTCTGCCCACCACCTAGAGTATGACAAATAGTGAAAATATCATATCCGAAATGAGTATTAGTGGTTTCCTGCTGCACAGTCTACCTACAACGTATAATACGTGCGAATCGGTTGAAAGAGTGTTGAAACAATGCCATTTTTTATTTTTTTATTATTAATAATACATGGTGATGATTTGAAAAAAATGCATTGGTACTGTTCGAATGTTATGATGTAATAATATAGTTACGTACCAAAAAAATACCAGTTTCAGAGCAAAAGATACTCTTTTAGCTGTATACTGCTATTTACTATAATTTTCTATTTCTCAATTTCATTATCAGGGAATATTTTAATTTTTTTATGTTGAAGAGTAAACAATCAAAAAGCGAGGTGAAAAACAACTTTTCGAGGTTAATTTACAGTTTTCTCAATAGTGACTTACGTCAACAAACGTCATGATAGAAATTGCTGCTCTATATTCTACTCTGAAAGAGGATAGCATGTTGTGAGTATGTCTTGAACTCATTTATTTCAAATAGTATACAGACATTAAAAATACAGTTCTCAACACACTAAATGGACCACTCATAATTTGACTCTTTTTCGAAAGACCTGTATTTTTTGAAAAAATTGACCGATCTTCATGCGGTTTTCGATATCAGATGTGATATTTCATCGGCCTCAAAGAGAGCTAGAACACGATATCCATTATTTATATTAGACTATCAACTCGAAAATGCACCTCTAAAGCCCATGAAATATTACATCTGATATCGAAAACCACATGAAGTTCGGTCACTTTTTTCAAAAAATACAGGTCTTCGAAAAAGATTCAAATTATGAGTGGTCCATTTAGTGTGTTGAGAACTGTATCATCGGCTACCTCAAAACCATCAATTCTCATCATCATTTGCAAACTTGTGGCACAGATAATATAAAGTTTATTAATCTGTGCTTGTAGGTACTCACCAGCCTCCAAGGCCGCACGTTCTGCGACATCACGCCCACAATGAAGTTCATCAGCTTCTCCAAACCCACCCTCCTCGCCGACGCCCTCCTCCTTCTGCTCCTGTTCGGTATGTCCACGTTGACGGTCACCGTCTCGAAGATCTCCCCGCGTTCGTCCACCGCCACGGCCAGCAGCCAGCTCTGGTCCTCCGAGAGGCAGTAGCTCAGGTAGAGGACGGACGCCTGATCCTGAGCGCCCTTGCCGAACGCCTCGACGCCCTCCACTTTGCCGCGCATCGGCGCCAGGATGTAGGGTGGGGTGAAGAGTTTGTAGGGGGCGCGGTTCTTTTCCTGAAATGGGATAACGAGGTTTTTGTTTCCGAAAGATATGACAGGATGACGAAACCAACTGTTTGTATTTTGCGCGTCCTAATCAAACAATTCGATCAAATTTGTTTGATATAGTATTTCGTGTTGTATTTGTTTACAGAAATGGAGAAAATGCTAGATTCAAGTCAGAGGGAGGCGTCAAAGAGAAATATAGTTCGACATAATATGTTTTCTGAAGATTGAATCTTCCCAATATTACTATTATTGCATGAAAATGCAATCTCGAAGTTTTGTGGTGACATGTTCTTCCTTCAGTATCCAGTAGGCATTCTTGAACTTTAATATACAGAGTGTACGTGTAGAAAATTCAAGAGCATGTTGCTGACGTCAAAATAAGAAAAGAAGTTCGTATAAATATATGTCCGAAAGTTATTCGTTTCAGATATACAGAGTGTCAAAGTTGAATCCTTAATTATGATCTTTTTTGTTAATGAATCTCTAAATAATTGTGATATTTGAATGAAGTTTGGTATCTAGGGGTATTTGTCAATGACTATATCAAATTTTATGTCAGTTTGTCTCTTTAGTGGGGGTGGCGCCACCTACATGTCTTTTGAATCTTTTGAAGTCATGACTGTGCGTACCTCTATCACATTTTCCACTAGAAAAATAGATTTCGAGAACACTTTTGTGTACAAAATATATTCCTGGTAGAGATTGCTGCAAGCAACTGTTTTCGAGTTATTGGGATTTGAAATAATCAATGCAAGTAATTTGAAATGACAAGAAGTTGGAATCCAAAATTGATTCTTCAAGGGAAATTATTTTTTTTTTCAATTCCATTTTGAAATAGGAATTGGGTGTAAGTACAATTTAATAATAATAATAATAATAATCAACATCATTGTCACAAGAACGGATTGAAATAACATGACAAGTACTCACTCACTTGATTGTAATTTTTTTAAATTGGAAGAGTCCAAAAAAAGTAGGTACAAAGAAGTAAGAATCATCTTTTGTCTACATTCCAATGTTGAATGTAGAAGAATATTGAATGAAAGAAGGAAAATTCACTGGCGTATCTTTTCTGATATTTACTACTTAGAGGCGACTTACAACCCCCATGGAAATAATTCAAATGCATCCATTATTCCAAATCCCAATAACTCGAAAACAGTTGCTTGCAATGTCCTCTACCAAGAATATATTTTTCACGGAAAAGTGTTCTAGAATACTATTTTTCTACTATAAACCGTGACACAGGTACGTAAAAAAAAATATTACTTTTCAATAGACTTAAAAGACATGTAGGTGGCGCCACCCCCAAGAAAGAGACAAACTGACATAAAATTTGATATTGTGATTGAAAGATACCCCTAGATACCAAACTTCATATGATTATCACAATTATTTTGAAATTTATTAACAAAAAAACAACTTTGTCACCCTGTATCTCAGAAACGAATAACTTTCGGACATATATTTATACGAACTTTTTTCCTTATTTCGACGTCAGCAGGAGCATGTTGAATTTTCTACACGTACTTAAGAAACACCCTGTATACAATGGGTAGGCAAAAAATAATGTTATCAGACCGAAAATCACTCATCAGCTGCTATTTGACGACGTAACATAATTATTGACACAGAATTCTGAATCTTGAACCACCCTGTGACTGTTCCAATTGAATATCAGTAAATAGTGAATCAAAAGTTGAGATAGGAACATGTGAGCAGTTTTGACAGCTAATGAATAGTTTCGACACAAAAAACCTAAAGTTGAAAAATCTCGATTTTGAACACACTATATCATGTAATCATTTTCGATTGTGATATATCGATGAAATCAGCTCTTCAGGGAGAATATAAAAATGCGATAAAATACAAGGTATTCCATTTGAATCTAAAAATTCGATGAAATAGAAGGTATTCTATTCCATTTGAAATATGAATGTTGCTACTACTTTCTAGTAGAAGCAGCAACAACCAAGAGGAGCGTATTCTAAAATATGAGCATGCACAATTTCATGGATTTCTCCTGATTCTCAATATAAAGATATTGTATGCTTGTCGTGATATACCTTGCATATTGAACACAACAATATGCTTTAGTTTCTCAGAAGCTCCAGTCTTCAAATTAACGAGAGACTTCATCTCGAAAACTGCACAGAAAAAGTAAAAAACAAATTGAATCCTATCACATTTGATAATTTTTCGTGCAATCGTCAAGATTATTAATTAAACTAGATGATAATATATAAATATATTACTGCTTTGAAATCAACAACAGTTCAAGTCAATTAACAAACTATTATGGAAATGACAATTTTTGAATGTATACAAAATATTTTGACAGTTCTTGACGAAACAAAAATATGGTCTGATAATAACTTTGTTATCATAGTTTATGTAGGAGAGTGAGTTCTTCGAAGGAGAATACGACACTAACACTGTAACACCCTATATTCGACCCCCGCCCCCCCCCCCCGACTATTATCTTACAAGACAAGTTGTTACTAGAAAGGTACAAACAGGGATGAATGTTTATTTCGTATGTGGGTACATCATAGACGATAGCTCATCTCCTCTGAGTCACTGGCTTGTCATGCCTATGACTCATCCCGCATTCAGAAATGTAAAATTCGCCGTTTTATCAGCTCATCGGAGGACTAACACAGCTGTGTGTGAATTTTAATCTTGTTCTTTCTGACCCATTGGTTTTGTTGAACTTGTAGACATAATAGGAGAAAAATGTTTATATGCAGTGCAAACTGGGTATTTATTGAGGCATATCACGCGGTTCATTAGTGCTGAATTTCAAGTGAATCAAGTAATTTCAAATTGAACAAATAAACCAATGCAAACTCTTCATTGGAATATTTTCACAGTATATTAACAAACATGTCAATGAATAAATGCTCTATGTATTGTATTTATTATAGTGAGAAATGTGCAATAAAGTTACATGTATCAATATGCAAAAAAAGTTTATGTTTGTCCCCCCCCCCCATCAGCTGTTCAATGGCTGACAATTTTACGTCATATTAGAACTCAAGTACCCAGTACGGACTGTGTCTAGAACGCGATTGCACGAAAACATATTTTCGATTGTAATTCCCTTATAATCGAAAACACATAAATAGAAATGAGGACACAAATTATCAGATCAAAATCTCCCGTTTTGATAGCATGCTAGTGGCTACTTACATCTTTGCTCTTGAGGAAATGATCGGCCATCGCCGCAGTGCCAAAGCCGGTAAGAGACTTAACGTTGTTCGTATGCACCAATAGCCTCCTACACTGCGAGAAAATATTCAGAGCGAGTGCCCTCATATGGTCGCTGTGTCGCATTGTGTCCCTAGCTTTATTCAGTTCCACTATACTTTCTAATGATATGATCTGAAAATAATCATGAAAATGTGTGTTATAACTCTAGATGAAAAACTTTTTAATGGATATTAATTATTTAAATATATGAGGGGTTCAAAGCAATCCATGTATGATGAACTCAGTTATGAAGATTTGAAGTTATTTGTCAATGGTTAATTCCTTTATCATCCTGTAATGTATTCAACTCGGTATTCAACATGTAATAATCAGGACACTTATCAACACCCTGTATCTAATGCTTGCATTGTTATTATCAGTCATCACAAGTGAGGTGCGCAGGTGTCTCTAGGTGAATATTCTGAACGGTCAGTATCGAGGTCAGTATGTCAGTATGTGTGAACAGGGATACGCGCACGTGAGTTGTCGATGTTGATAAACACGACACATGTGTATAACGTGGTGAATATACCCGGGTTAGGTTTACGCCCGAAGTTTCATGATAAACTCCAAACCCCCAGTTCCTGGATGTGATGTGATATCGTGAACATCACACATCCATTCGGTTTTTTTCGATTGGGGATCATTAAGACCACTCATAACTCGAATTGGAGTACCATCATTGAATCAATAAATTGAATAGTTTCAGATTTGAAACTTGTTTTCTTCTCTCATGTTGAACTTGGTTCACTTTTCTGGTGAATATTTTATGAATATTGAATAAAAAAATAAACTTTATTCATTGAAACGAGAACAATATAATAAATTCCTCAATAGTTCACTGATTCATTTCAGTCATCATAAACCAATTCGTCATCAGCAATATCAGGTTGCAGTTGAGTGGCTCCCGTACAAGTTGTTACCACTGAACTATAACCCTACAAATGGAATGCTGATACAGCTACCTGCGCGTGAATATTTTACGCCTCCCATGGAGATCATGACTTTAAGGTTCTGCGACGCAGTAGGACCAAGATATGAAAAGAATGTCCGTGATTATCGAAATTGCTTACAACCGCAGACGTATGTCGTTGATTAGGTGTGCTCCCATCAGGAGAGGCTTAGATATTTTTGTGCCCATCATCTGCCACGCCATTATTATTGTTCGTTTTCATATGGTTTTTATTTCCATTGTTTCATTGTTCATGATCGTGTTTGTGTCCTGGTATTTGGATCACCTTGAAAGACAACAAACTGAGTTCATGAGAGGGCTGACAATTCGACAAAAAATGAACAAATTGGTGTTATTTTCCCACCAATAATCAATAACTATTGTGACAGAGTTTCAAGAAAATTTACATTTTCTCTTCTCTAGATTTTTAGCTCAGCAAAATAACGTTTGAAGTATTTCGTGTTCAAAAGTCAACATTTGATGACAGTCTTCGAAAAACGTAAATTCTCATAGTATTATACATTATGATTCTAAACTCGGCAAAATGACCCCGAAGTATTTTGTGTTTAAATGTCATCATTTGATGACAGTCTTCGGGAAATGTGAATTCGCACACTATTATACATGATAATTCAACATGCTTCAATGGGCAAGAAATATTCGTTCATTCGCAAGACCGGTCCTGGTTTCAATATAAGTGCGCATGCTCACAACCTTAAATCCGCCATGTCTGAGCGAGGTTCTAATGAGCGTATTATTGATATCATGCATCGGCATTCCATTTGTAGGGTTATAGTTCAGTGGTTGTTAATGGTAGACTGGTAGATTCTTAAAGTAGCTGTAGTACACCGGAGGAATATAAGGAAGCAGACTGATCATGTTATTTTTTTTAGCTGAAGTTACAGGCCTCCGAGTAGTATAAAGGGATTTTTGTTGAACATTTTTTAGAGATTCCAAATGTATACACATCATAACCTCGAAGACAGAATACAAAAATTGTGAAGAATTGCGTGAAATTGAGGATGAATGTTGATAATATCAACTTCCTGGTTCACTTTTGTCAATTCATATGATATTAGAAATCGTTAACTTACCATTTCCATTGATATTCTCCATAGTACTCCAGAATCTCATACAAAAAAAGCGTTAACAATATAACTTGGACTTGGTTCACTTATGCTCTGAACGTTATGCAAAATAATTTTCACAACAAATACATCACCTCCATCCATAGCTCAAAAAACTAAGAAGGGACATGGTTTGTTATATATAAATATGTTGATTTCATGGACTTGGACTATTTCAGCTTTGAACCCCTCATATACTGTTTCTGATTAATATAAAAGTACATAATTATGAATATTGTTCTTTCTGTGAAAATATTTGAAAGAAAAAAACGTTCACAAGATACAACTGAAAATTGCTGATTTTGAAATATTCATACTGATGTTTTATTCCAATGCGATGGTCGCAAAGAAGAGAAACTAAAAAGTTATTACCACAATAGTTCATAATTGAAATAGGTGTGATTGCTTCCAATTTCAACAAATCAAAGCAAATGTCAACTCTTCCTTATTATTTTCAATGCTGAAAGAAACTCTTTACCTGGACACTGATGTTATTTCGGATATTCTCAGGTACTGCCGTCAGCATGGATTGGTAACACCTCAAGAGAGCCAGGCACGCTAACCGTTGAAGCTCGGGTTGGTCTGAGCCTAAGGTGAACGGTTCCACTAGATAAATCACTACAGAGGGAGCTTCTCTTTCGTCGTCGTCGTGCAAGCTTTCCGTGACGTTGCTTATGGGAGAAGAGTCTTTCATTCCATCGCCATCTATAATAGAAACGAAACGTGTACAAGTACAATATTGAAATGATATTGCCTTGATGGGGGCTGAAATTTTATTTAACGGCGGAGACTAATACCAGTGTATTCCTGAACACCTAATATAACACTGTGGTTGAAGTAACTTGATTGTCAGATAGAGAGAGAAAGGAGATGTTCTACGTCAACCTCAAATTCCGAATTGATAACAATTTCAGAAAATATTGACACGATTTCAGAATTGGTTCTTTTGATTTCAGAAATGGCAAGCTCAATTCAATTTAATTCAGTTCAATATATGCTTTTTTGCAATAAATACATTCGTATTTGCTGACAAAGCTCGTACATATACATATTTAAATGGAATATAATAAACAATATGCGATCCAAAATGTGAAGCTTTCTGCTAGCCTCGCCTTCTCTATGAGACTCCATAGGCTAGCTTTCAGATCAGCTGTGTATCTTTGGGCTTCTGGTTTTTCCTCACCCAGCTATATCTTTTATACAAATAGCTATGTTGAAAAAGGCGAACACATTTGAACAGTCATCTGCACATTATTTTTCAAAACATCATAGTCTGAATTCTGTTTGGTTATGCACTCTATTTGTATCCTTATTATTGAAAACCAAGTGATAGATTACTATACAACCAATAATACGGTCGTATCTCTTCTACATGGGTAGAAAAAAGAAGGCGCCTTGAAAACGGTCACGTGACACTCAATCATCGTTGAAGACCTGTTGATCAGGTTTGATCTGCTAATTATAACCCCTAGGACTTTGTCTTCCATAAACAATGTGAATCTCCTATCTGAGTGAATTTGCAGGTATATTTCAAAATGTATATACATCATTTGTCACACACTACCCAACAACAGATATTGTTTCTATAGACGACTACTTGAGGTCACTTTAGTAGAATGCAATAGCACAGAGCGAAGAATTAACCGATTTCAATATCTTGAGTTTATCAGGGATTTTTGAAACCGCTGTGTCCTTTCACAGTTTGAACATCTATTTATTTACTATATCCACATCAATATTATGTTGAAAAAGAGATCTGGTTGATATTCTTGTCATCTTCTGGAAACCATTGGCGCTAAATGAATATGAATGAGATGTTGCGTCTCTATGGTATAATGAGTAATACATGAGAAATATTCTAGGAATACATTAATTAGCCGAAAACATCAAGTGGTATCCACAATGGGGAAGTTTCCTATATTGAGGTTCTTATCTCACTGTGAAGTTTGTAAAAAATAAATATATACGTATTTTTTCTTTTTTTCGAAAGATCAAATTCACTTCAGAAAAAATAAATAGAAGAGGAACTTAGCTCCTTCAGCATTCCAATGACGTACTTTCTGAAAATCAACATTCACACAGAGTTAAAATACGATTCTCGTGTCAGTACGACGTTGCCGACATCATCAATATGTCTAGATTTCCGGAAATTGTTCTTTGAATGCATAATCACTATATCATAACAGCAATGGAATATAAAAGGTTCTTCAATCCTACTTCGTCAAGTATTATGAATAATTCCCATAAATCTCTCATTGGCTGAATGGAGTTGATTACTAACGAAGATAAATTATGATATTTTGCGATAGTATCTATAATTTTTCACCATCGTTATATTACAATATGTTATTCATAACTTGTCAGTAATTTTTTTGCTAATAAATTCGTTCCTTGATAAAATGGATCTATCTTTTTGCATATCGGTCATCGCATTTCATATAGTTCAAAATGGGGTATTTTTCTTTTTTTTTTCATAATAGATATTAGTTTTTGTAATTTCTTTTCTCTATTTATTTTTATCAAGTTGAAGTTGATGAAATTAATGCAATGCTATTTTTATAAATTTTTGGTGGGAATACGTGAATGATCATATTATTCATTCATTATTTTTTTTGTGCTTTTGTTTATGCTACACGACTGCATGATTTGTTGAAAAAATTATGATTTTTTTTTCCTGATTTACATAAATATCACTCTAACCAAATTGAATATATGCGGAAGGTTTTTTTTTTTTTCATTTATATAACATGTTGCAAAACAGTATTGTTAGAGCAGGAATGCCACATGTGTCACGCTATTGTTGACCAATTTTTTAGGGCGATTGAGTTTTTTTTTTTTTTTTCTTTCTCTCCTTACATTTTCTATCTTCTATATAACAAGTATTTACTCTCTCTTTTTGCTTCTTTCATTTCCCTTTTTCTCCTACACTTTCTTTTCAATATATTTTCAGAGTATGCTGAACGTATGTCACATAAATATTAGATCTTTACCAGCGAAATTCAATGACTTTCAAGATCACATTCTCGATGCGGATTATGATGCCATTGGAATTTCAGAAACATGGATGCATTCAGGTATAGACAGCAACAATGTAAGTCTTAATCAGTATGTTTTTTTGCGCAAGGACAGGCCTACCAGAGGTGGAGGAGTTGGCCTTTATTTGAAAAATAACTATAAATATGAAATCATTTTCAGCGAATGTAACGAGCATATAGAGTGTATATGGGTGAACATTTTCATCGAAAAAAACTGTTCCGTTGTTATAGGCGTTGTTTACAGACCACCTAACTCGAACATTTCACCATTCTTTGATATAATCGAAGAAGTTTTCACGAATATCTTCTCCAGTCACAATGATATTATTTTAATGGGTGACTTCAACATAAATATGCTGAATTTCAATTCAAATTATACAGATAGATTTTCCTCAATTTTGGAAATTTTCAATTTCAGACAAATTGTTAGTGAACCTACACGAATAACCAGTACATGTTCTTCATTATTAGACTTGATTATAACGAATTGTGAAAATATTTCCGAGGTAAATATTACAGAATGTGATTTATCTGACCATGCATTAATACAGGCAAAATTCCAAATCGGTGAGGATAGAAATTCACAAAATACCAAGGTTACATACAGAAATCTCAAACACATAGACATTGATAGATTCCGAAGCGACTTGGCAAATCTACCATGGTTTTTAATCTATGACACTGTCGATATTGATAGCAAAGTTTCTCTCGTAAATGAATTTATATTGCAAATTCTTGATCTACATGCGCCAGAAAAAAAATGCTCACCAAAAAACCTCAAGTACACCCCCTGGATTACCGACAACATTAAATTGATGCAAAAACTTAGAAATAGGGCATTAGCTAGATTCAAAAATTCGAAACTTCCACAGCATTGGACATACTATAAAGAATTGAGGAACTTGACCAACACAGCCATAAAAGTAGAAAAAAAAGCTTACTTAAACTTTAAATTGAACAACTCAGATATCAAGAGTAAATGGAAAGAACTTAAGAAATTGAGTGTTACCAAGGGTAGAAACAAAGAAATACCAGAACAACTGAAAAATGCCGAAGATATGAATAATTTTTTCTTAAGATCTTCCATGAATGAGGATGTACCAAATGAACATTTAATAAATTTTTATAATTCTAACCGAAAAGAAGGATTGAATGAATCATTCACCTTTTCATTGTCTAATGAAACTGAAATATCTAAATTAATCAATAATATAAAAACGCGAGCCTATGGTGATGATAGTATAAATATCTCAATCATCAACCTTTGTGGACCTCTCCTGGTGTCTATAACTACACATATTATAAATGAATGTATAAGTCAAAACTATTTTCCCAGTGTGTGGAAAAACGCAAGAGTAATACCCATAGCAAAAAATAGTAATCCTCAAAGTTATAATGACTTGAGATCAATAAGCATTCTACCAACATTTTCAAAGATTCTGGAAAAAGTAATGGAAAATCAAATCAGATCTTATGTCGACTCTTATAACATACTGCCAGTGAAACAATCAGGCTTCAGAAGTGGCTATAGCTGTGCAACAGCAACATTAAAAATAGTGGATGACATAATTAAAGCTCTTGATGCAAGCAAAGTAACAATTTTAATATTACTGGACTACTCGAAAGCATTCGATACCATAAATCACCAAATATTACTTTCCATGTTGCATTACTTTGGATTCAGCGATGCATCAAGTGCGTTAATTTCATCTTATTTGCATAATCGAAAACAAAAGGTCGTCATAAGTGATACATGTTCTAATTGGCAGGAAATAAATTCTGGGGTACCACAAGGCAGCATTTTAGGCCCTCTGTTCTACACCATCTACACTTCCACTTTCACCAAGAGATTGAAATTTTGCAACTACCATTTATACGCAGATGACTCTCAGATATATTTCTCCTTTGACCCCCTAAACCTAGAAGACGCCGTAAATCGTATTAATAGTGACTTGGAAGCAATTCTGAAGGTATCCACAGATCACATGTTGAGAATCAATCCGAAGAAGTCAATTGCCATGATATTTGGAAACGAAAACGTTCGTGAGCAGGCCAATAACTATGAACTCAAAATCGGAGATTCCAGAATAAATTTCAAGACTCACTCTAAAAACTTAGGGCTTGTTATAGACTCCAAGCTTAAGTTCACAGAACATGTAACCTACAAACTCAAAACAGCTTACGCATCTCTGAAATTAATATACCCACAAAGGAAATTTTTGAATACGGAAGTTAAAAAAACATTGTGTGATTCATTAGTTCTGTCCCATTTCAATCATTGCGACGTGGTATATCACAAATGTTTAGATAGCAATGACACAAAGCGCATTCAAAAACTACAAAACTCTTGTATGAGACTTATTTTTGGTATAAGAACTAGGAATAGAATTTCACATAAACTGAAAGATTTGAACTGGCTTAATATGATCAACCGCAGACGTCTCCATACAGCTTGTACTTTCTTTAAAATAGTCAAGTTTAAGACTCCTCCCTACTTACATGAACATTTGAGTTATAGAACGGACGTTCACAATTTGAATCTGAGAAGGAAATTACTATTGAGTGTCCCTACTCACAAAAAAGAAGTGTATAAGCGCTCGTTCTCTTATAATATTTCTGACACATTAAATTATATTAATATTTGGAATCCTAATTGGTTTGACCTATCGATCGATAATTTCAAATACAAATTTAAAAAACATTTAATACAGTCTCAAAATGTCCCTGAATGACCGCTATGAAACATTCGCATTGAGATCGTGATTATTGTTTATCAGCTCATCGCTCGCATGCTCTATTTCCAATTCTTTTTCTCTCCATCTCTCTTTTTTCTCTTTTCCTCCTCTCTTTCTCGTGCTCTTTCACCCTATTCAGCTTTATTTTTCAGTTTACGGCTTTGGTGGAACACCAGATGCGACTTGATCGCAATCTGAACCAAAAGCCCTTTGTTCACCATATGTATATATATTGTATTTAGTTTTACTTTCTCCAATGTGAACATATTTGGTGTCCAATAAATGTATTATTATTATTATTATTATTATCTTCTAGGAAAGTTGCAGATTTTATCTTGCAACAGCACCTAATGCTTCGAGTCCGTCCACACCACTCAAAATACTGACAGGCACAACAAGAGGAAGGAGGCATGGGCGTCGGCTTCATTTTGTTCCGACCGATGACAATAAATTAGGAAGGATAGTCTCATAGAATGTAGCCGATAGTGTGTGATGGTTTGCAATGAAACACACTCCTTCAGTCCGTGATTTATTGATATTTGAAAATCAGATTCCAATCTGAATGAAAGGAGATCCTACATTCTTTACATTCTCTAGATTACTTATATGAACGTAGAATAACTTACCTGATACCAGGGCTATCAGTAATATTAAGGATATGATAATATTTCTTGATACTATCCCAGAAAGGCTATCAAATTGGAAATTGGTCTCACTCAATAAATGAACGATTGAATAATAAAAATGTCTCTTAGAAACATCATATACTGAGTATTCTGCTACAAGTGATTCATTGATTCAATGATATTTTTGTTCGATCGAGATATTTCAACGCATAAATAACAAAACCATAACCTGTCAGAATGAAGCCAACTACCCTCTGCATTCCTGCTCCGAGTGCATTTGTGGTTATGTTTGTTTTTGTTTACCAGTTTTACTTCTTCTTCTATTTATTCAGTCGTTAGCTATTCGCTAGCTATATTCTTCACCATCAGCTATTTTCAGCCGACCCGAAATTTAGAAATTGCTTTTATTCGAAAATGAAAACGAATTGGAGTTTATCTGTACAGCGTGGACATAAAACTGGAGAGTTCTGAACTTATTTTATGAAAATTCATCTGAAGGAAACTTCCCCATTAATGTTTCTTGTATCAATGAAGTGTCAGTTTGCTTCTCATCAAAACCCGAATCAAAATCCGTAGTCAAAGTTAGGAAATTCCTTACCTGGATCGCTTTTAGGAGTGATGGAACCCTTGTCGGAGCTGGAACCGGACGAACATCCAGAATTATCAGGCGTACTAGGTGGCGGCATGGGACTGGGAGCAGGTTGTTGGTCGTTATTGTCTTGAGGAGGATCCAACAGCGTCTTGTCCATAGGAACTTTTTGGAGGTGGGGCGCCAAGCGATGTTTGCAAACCTAACGGATAAAAATTACGTTTGCAATGTCACTAAGATAGCCGCGAAGAAGTTGTACAACACTTATATTACCTTCTTGCCATCTTTGAATGAGAAACAGTGAAACAACTAAACACAACGATTAATTTTTCATTCCAAACCAGAATTTGTTTATTTGCAAGATCATTACTAAATTTCACCAGAAGTGTTTTCTTCATGATGAACCATGTACAGGGTGAACAGCTAAGAACGGCTGTCATATCTATCGACCTTCCAACTTTGATTGTTAATATCTTCCGTTGGCGAAAAGCTATCATGTTGCGGTTTTCGTTGGTCTGTTGAGATTTAGTTTCTATTTATTCTATCTCAAACTTGTATCATTATTCGTTGCCGACAGCAGTTCTTAGTTGTTCACCCAGTACAAAACGATTTGAAATCATTCATTTTCTTGATGACACTGAGACGTCATCAACGAATACAAGCTAATAAACGGAATCAACAATGAAAAATGCAAACCGATGAATGCTTCCGAATCTACTATAGTTTAAAATGGGAGCGATGATTTTGCCTACAATGTAGACATTCAATTAGCACAAAAATGGGAGAATAACTTTTCCCTAGCCCCACAAGAATGATCAACAATTGCTTATAGGCGAATATAGCTATTCCTCCTATGACTTACTTCTCAACCTCTGAGTGTTCAAAACTAAGAAAAATAAATTCCTGTGGGTCATCTATTGCACATTGGTGCAACATTTGTTATTATAGATGAACTTACTGTTGAATGTGTTGAGTGACAATGGTAAGAACTAAAAAGTATCAAATTTTCATATTGTTATTTACTTTTACACTCTGAAAATCAAAATATTCGACAGACAATAGACTGGCCACTGTCCTGCCCTTTAAATGCTGTCTACTGTCTTGAAGGAATTAACTTTAAATGACGTCAGATTTAGATGATGTTTAGAACCAACTTTGAATGCCATACATGAAAGGAAAAACACCTCAAATAATGGATAATTCGTTTGAAGGAATCATCAAAACTGTTAGTTAAAGTACTTACGGTGAAAAAAAAGAGATATTCTTACTAGTTGACAAACAAGACGGGACAATAATGGATGTACATAATGGGACTTTTCAAGAATGTTCTTGCAGTATCTGAAATACTATTGTTTCTCTTTGATGACAGTGGATAATTCAAATCTTACTATCTTGTGACATTAAGTTGGATCAATTTTAAAATTGAGAAATATTTACCTGATACCTTTTTGCAATAGAATAATTGGTAACACATGAAAATATTATGACGTCAGAATTGGTTAGAACAGTGTGCCGTCAGGCGCTTAAACATTTCATGAAACCGTAGGGTTTGTCACAGTATATTTTGACATAAAACTATGTAACTATTAAATTTCGATCATTCAATTATTTGATTCCACAAGTTTGTCATCTTGCGGAGCGGTCTACGGTGGTTATTTGGAAATGTTGCAAACTAACATCTGAAGCCTCAAAAACATTTTTTTACTGACAACTGTTTGATTTACGAAGTTGCTTTCATTGGAAACGGAAATTGGATCACCCTTTATAGCCTGAAACTCCTGGTCGATCATAATGAGAAAGAATTTATCTTTGAATACACCAACGGTCCATCTAATATCCAAGCAATTCCTCAAAAATTCCTATTTAGCAACCATGTCTGTCCCGTCCACCCAATAGACGTTTTCATTTGGATGACAAATCATTGTTTATACCTGAGAACCAAGTTCAGTGGCGACGGAATGTAAACTTTATCACAAATATGATCACTTAATTACTAACAAGTTTTTTATAATTTTGACAAAAAATTCCGCATTAAAAAAATAAGGACCAACTCTACATGAGATCTACCGATTACACCCCATACATAGATTAGCTGTAACTGAAAAAAAAAACGTAATATACAACTGCATGAAGTTATTCAATAAGCTACCTGACAGAATTAAAGCAATATCCTCACTCAATGTATTAAAAAAAAAATCTGGGAACTTATGGTATATTTGGAACCATACACGGTGAGTGAATATCTAGATTCAGAGTTGGAAACCTACACAACATTTTGAGGGTAAATATTTCATATTGTTTGTACCTCAGTTGACTGAGTTAGTTGTTTTTGTGACGCCTGTTTGTTTCAATAACCTTTTACGGGTTCTGTAAATTTGTATAAGGTTATTTTTTTCAAATAAAGACTATTACTACTACTACAAAAATCCTCACCTGAGCGTACAACTTCAGCATATCGCTCGTCTCGCCCTCGCCCAGCCACCCGAACCACTCCTCCACCGGCTCCGCCCCTATGGCCATCCTCGCCGTCTCCCCCACCCTCAGTATCCCGTCTCTGAGCACCTTCGTGATGGGGCTGTGCCTGCCCAGCTTGCACGTCTCGTACGCGGCGGACAGCTCGCGGAAGAAGGTGCGCACGCGCGGCAACACCGCCTCGCTGTCGGGCGCCACCACGATGTAGGCGACGTCTCGGGCGTAGGAGTAGGGTTCGAGCAGGAGGGTTTCCCAGTGCTGGAGGGCGTAGGGAGAGAGAGAGAGCCAGTCCTTGTCGTGGCCGACGATGACGGAGGGGATGGGTTGCGGTTCGCAGCGGTCGTCGGTGCCTGGGAAGGTAAAATGAAATTGAGTGTTTTCATTTTTCGTTCGGCAGGAGGGGCAAGTCGCTGGACGATTTTGTTTTGACCGCTACTGGGGAATTTTGCACTTATCAGGCGATGAGTTCTTTTCAGAAAAATTCATTTTTTTACTACTGCTATGAACCATGTATTGCTTATACTGTGAGAAATATTTTCTCTCACGACACTTTGCCAACACCACAGATATTTCCATGAAGAATCAACAAAAATCGACAAAAACTTACTTGGCTGCTGTTCAGCTTTGAATAGTTGTTACAACTGTCAGAAGAAGTTTTTTAAATTGAACTATGAAATAGCCACAATGCTCACAGTGGAATGAAATAGTAAATAAATGTGAAAAGCTCACAGTCATTTCCACCCAGTGTTCATAAAATGAACAACAATGGTAGATTTCGGGAGAAAAACAACTACTTCCCTGGCTAATGCCACGCAGGATATTGAATTACATCCTCCCGAAATCTATGCATCGATTCGTTTAAACGAATACTGATACAAGTGATTCTTTCCTGTATGCCTATTGATTTCGATTAAGCCAGGCCGCTAGACAACCACAGACCGGTTGGCATTATATCCACCCCGAGGCGTCTTTCATCGATAAAATGAAAGTAACGCCATCTGAGTAGAACCGAGGAAAGAATCACTCCAAAACTGAAATTCCCATACGGGAGTGGCTGGCAGCCCGACTGGCGTGATATGAACTACGAAATAGCCACAATGCTCACAGTGGAATGAAATAGAAAATAAATGTGAAAAGCTCACAGTCATTTCCACCCAGTGTTCATAAAATGAGTCGGCGGTCTTAGGACTGCTGGCTGGAGACTACACTGCACTGATGAGAGTCAAAGAGCTCGAAACCGGTCTGTGGTTGTCTAGCGGACTGGCTTAATCGAAATCAATAAGCATACAGGAAAGAATCACTTGTATCAGTATTCATTTAAACGAATCGATGCATAGATTTCGGGAGGATGTAATTCAATATCCTGCGCGGCATTAGCTAGGAAAGTAGTTGTTTTTTCTCCCGAAATCTACCATTGTTGTTCATTTTATGAACACTGGGTGGAAATGACTGTGAGCTTTTCACATTTATTTGTTTTTTAAATTCTTTAGGGTAGTTCTCATTAGTGCTCTCGATAGAAATCGCATTTTCCATCAAATATTATTCCAACCATTCATAATAAATAATATGATATATACACCGAGATGTGACGATTTTGATAAATACACCGCCAGAGACAGAGGTAATGAAAAAAGCTGGTATTGGTTGGTATTTCCACGGAAAGTATAAGGTTATGTTTCTTTTAACTAGAGCAGTGGTGTAGTTATCGTAGGTTATTCAATTAAATCATTGCAAGAAACGTTGTTTATTTTGTTTAAATTCCACTGAATGATGGATAAAAATTAGGTAAGTACCTAGGGTACTACGAATAAATGATATTAAAATTAAAAGAGTATACCCAGACTTTTTCTGATTCAATATAATAACGTTGCTCTCATTGAATAATTTTCTTGCCCTTCGCAAAAACTTACGCAACTGGTAAATACCATTGTGTGGACATTGATTGACGCAAAGTTTACAGCGATGCCATTCTTTAAATCCATCTCTTTCTAACTTATTTGAAGCTTTGAAAGTATGTATAATAGTAAACAAATAGTGTTATACCAAAGAAGGAAAGTGTATTTCGTGCAAGATAAACAGTGTTATGTTTCCCCTCCCATTATATTTCTATGGCTAGAATCCTTCTGATTGGTCTAAAAATGCGTGCTCATTAAAAAGTCATGGTTGTTTGAGTTCGACTCACCTCGTCCTGCCAACCTATGGAACTGCCTCCAAGTGAGCGGCCCCTTAACAGCAGACGGAGCCTCCCACAGCCTGGTCTGGCACTTCTTCTGGATGGCCTCCTGCAGCAGCGGCTGCAAACTCTTCATCACCCTTACGATGTCCTGGTTGCATTGAGGGCCGCGAGCTCGCAAGAAAGGCCACCTGTGCATGGCGAACGAGTGGGAACTTTTCGATGAATGTTTGACGTCCTCCATCTGCAAATGAAACAATATTTCTCTCCAAATGTACAAGGAAATATGATTTTTTTATCATCTGTATTTCTCCGATCTCTCTGTTTATCTCTCCCTCCCTCTTCATCATTTTCTCTCCCTCTTTCTCCCTCTCTCTCACCCTCTCTCTCTTTCTCTCTCGCTTTCTCTTTATCTTTCTCGCGTTCTCTCTATCTTTGTCGCTTCCTCTTTTCTCTCTCTCTCTCCCCCTCTCTTTCTTTCTATCTCTCTCCCCCTTTCTTTCTCTCTATCTCTCTCTCTCTCTCCCCCTCTCTTTCTTTCTATCTCTCTCTCTCCCCCTCTCTTTCTTTCTTTCTCTCTTTCTCTCTCTCTCTTTATCTCTCCTTATCTCTTTCTCTATCTCTTTCTCTCTATATATATATATATATCTCTGATCGCCTCTTCTCTTCATGGTCCCTATCTCGGTCTGTCCCTGATCATACACTCACTCTTTACAGCTTGCTAGTTTTATATATTATTTTCATATTATTGTTTATTGTTTATTGAAAAACTAGCTTCCAGTCCGAAAATAAAATTCTGGTATGAGGAAGTTGATTACAAACAACAATAATAAAATAATATAAGGTGACAACAACAACAATAAAAATCTAAAAAATCTAAAAATGCTAAATCGATCAAGTCATAAAAATAGCCACAGGATCAGTAGATGGCAAAGAATCAATTTTATCCATTTCGTAATGAAATCATGTGTTTTTTTAATTCAATTTTAAATTTTGAAATATGTCTGCAATTTTTTATATTATGTGGTAATTTATTAAATTCAGCTAGAGCAGCGTGAGTAAATTTTTTTTGGCCAATTACAGAAGTAGCAGAATCAAGATGAAATAAGTTTAATTGTCTCGTGTGATGACCATGAATTTCTGAGTTTCTTACCAAAACAAAATTGGATTTCAGATTATTGTTTATTATATTATATGAAACTTTAAGAGAATCTATTTTATATAATTCATCCAATGAAAATTTTTCTGTTATGGCATACAGATCATTTGTTGGAATATCAAATGAGAGGCGATACAATACTTTCAGTGCTTTCTTATAAAGTGCAGATATTTTACTGAAATAATTTTTTGAACAAGATCCCCAAACGTTTATCATATAGGTAATACGACTGAGTATATGAGACTGAAGTACTATGTTTATGACTTTTTTGTCAAGTTTAGAACATCTTCGCAAAGCTCCAATGATTGGAGATATTTTTTGTATCAGAACCTCTATATGCTTGTCCCATTTCAATTTTTCATCAATCCACAAACCAAGATACTTTATTTGTGTAGTTCTTTTCAATACTTTATTTTTAATTTGGAGATTGAGACTAATATTCTTTTTATTTTTTTGATGGAATATTATATATTCAGTTTTATTGGTGTTAATTGTTGAAATGTTTGAATGAAGCCATTTTTCAAATTTTTTCAAATCTTCATTAATAATATTTTCTAGAATGATGGGGTTTTCGATTTCGTATAGAAGTACAGTATCATCTGCATATATAGTATAATTACCTGACAATCCAATTTTAGAAATATTTTGAATATATAATAAATACAAGATGGGCCCTAAAACAGATCCCTGTGGAACACCTTTACTTATTGGAAATTTATTAGACTCTGACATATTACATTTAGTGCTGATTGTCCTTACTCTACTGGATTCCAATATCAATAAGCATCTCCCTGATCCACCTCATATTTCTCGCACCCTCTCTCCTTGGTCTTTATCACACTATTTCTCTTACCCTGATCCAACGCCAAAACTAACCTTGCATAGGCCCAAGATGTCGCTTCTACTGCTCTGCTCCAACGCCACTCCGGTCACCTCGTTGCCGTCCGAGTAGTCCAGCACGTGCATCTCGTCGCCGTTCGAGCCGATCTTGGCTCGGGCGCGCCTCGCTGCCCGGCACAGCGAGTTGGTCGCGTTCGGCACGAAGACGAGCTGCTCGCGCAGCAGGTCGAGCAGGTGGTGGGGCAAAGCGTCGATCTGGTCTCGATCGGCGCCCGAGAGGTTCGCGGCGGCGGTGGTGGGGTCGGGGGGTTTGGCCGTCGAAGAGGCGGGGGGGTTGTTGAGGGACATGAGGAAGGCGACGAGGGAGGGTTTCTTCTTTTCGCCGGGGTCTTCGGCTATGCCTGGAAATTGATTGAATTGATGAATATGAAATACAAGGAGATGAAACAAATCATTCATAAGACTAAACTGCTGATCATATCAACTTCGTTTTTCATTGTTATTAATTTTTTTATTTATTTATCAAACATATCTTCCAGTCAGAACAAGTTCGGGTACGAGGAAGAACATAATAATTATAAAATAATAGGTAATAAATATCTCCGAACTACTAGACAAACATGAGTAGAAGTGAACATGTATAATAAATCATAATAAATCAGAGAATTTTAGTCAAAGACATAACTTACTGATAAATTTTAAACATTTATCTCAGAAATGATTTTTTACTCTCTTTTTAAATGTACCTATATTTCTGCAGTTTTTAATTTCATCTGGTAGTTCATTGAACTCAGATAAGGCTACATGAGTGAATCTTTTTTGTCGTAGTGTAGAACTAGCAGCATCAAGGTGAAATGAGTTACATTGTTTAGTTTGATGACTATGAATTTTAAAATTTCTTGTCAGAATGATATTAGATTTAGATTTATTTATGATATTGTTTGAAATTTTCTCAGTCTCTAATCTGTAGTAATCAGTTTTCTAAAGAATATGTTTTTGTTAAAGCATAGCATAGTTCAGTTGTTGGTGTACCATAATATGGAAGACAATACAGTACTTTTAATGATTTCCTATATAATGTTGATATTTTATGGAAATTATTTTTAGAACATGATCCCCAAACATTTTCTGGACCTAATCTATATGAGGCGATGAATAGAAAAAATTCAATTTTATCTAATTGAGCAACAGTAATGAACACTTATATCATATTCTGATTAAGAAAACAGTAGAATGATTGAAGAGTTCAGTGATGTACCAATTGAATATTACTATGGCTAACATAGAGAGTATATTTTGCAGAATAAAAATGGAATGGAATTATTGTTCTTTGAGGGAATAACACAACTATACTATTGATGGTCGAAATTGAGGTTATAGTATCTATAGTGCCTCTCTAGTCAGTATCATCTAGTCATCAAGTTGGTAACATATTATGAAGGAAAACTTTATTAGAGTATAGAAAATTTTTTTCGCGGGGATCTATTATGCATCTTCCATAACCTAAAAATCAATTTTAACACTCGTCACGCGATCACTGGTACGGCGGTAAATTGACAAATGACTAAGAATTCCTATACCTATGTAATAATATTTGTTGAACAATTTTCGATTTTGTTGAAGTTTTGATTTTATTTTTTCTCCTGAAAAGGTTGACGATAGTACTACACTTGTTTTTTGGTAAGAATAACAGAACAATCTCGTTTTCTTCACACCAGATTGGAAAAATAATCAAGATAATTCAGATTTAATTTTGCAAGTAATTCAAGACGCTTTTGATTTTCAAGTTTAATTCCGAAGGGAGACATTCATTAGCGATTATCAATGAAACTTGAGGATTATCATAAGTAATATCAAGATGTTCTGAATATTCTAGATAATTTTGTCGCTTCATTGTTCACGAAATTGTGTTACAGAGCCACACCACGAATCCGTTAGGAAGAGAGAAGATATTCATATTTTGCTAGACTATTTCACGTTCACAAAGCATAAAAAGGAATTTATTATGAATGAGTGATTCATTCTGACAAGTACCGCCATAATTATTCTGTGCCAAACTGACAGACTTTGCTTCCCTATCCATGGTTACCAGTTCAGTTCAGTTCAGTTATCCAGTTCATAATCACAAGATTCATGGATATAAACCAACAGAGCCGCGAAAAACGGTATATCGTGTTTCGTTTCTCGTCGTTACTCACCCGTAATCTCCATCTCGTCCTCGTAAAACAACCCGCTGCCGTACGCCAACCGCCTGTTCACTACGGCAGAAAACCCGCAGCTGCACCTGATCGAGTCCTCTTCGCCGCCGCCGCCGTGGTGTTCCTCCATGCCGCCCCCGTACGGGCTGCCCGGCCGCCCCCCGTGCTGGTGATGGTGGTGGTGGGGGCCGCCCCGCTCGCCTGCCGCCGTCGAGTTGACGAGGTAGATGCCGGCGTCGGCGCCTTTGATGTTGCCCACGACCTTCAGGAAAATAATGATGATTGATGTAGAGATATTCTGTACACGGGAGAATTGTTGTTGTCTGGGATAGTTTTCTCGTTATCTCGTTCTCACATCTCCTTTCTCGAAAATATGCTGTGTCTTGATTCAAGGAAAATCTACGACCACTGCTACAATTGAATTATACAGGGTGTTTCTTAAGTACGTGTAGAAAATTCAATAGCATGTTGCTGACGACAATAAAAAGAAAAGTTCCTATAAATATATGTCCGAAAGTTATTCGTTTCTGAGATACAGAGTGTCAAAATTGAACTCTTTTTTTTGTTTTTTGTTAATAAATTTCAAAATAATTGTGATATTCGAATGAAGTTTGGTATTTCGGGGTATTTTTCGATGAAAATATCAAATTTTCTGTTAGTTTGTCTCTTTCGTGGGGGTGTCTCCACCAACGCGTCTTTCGAGTCCTTTGAAAAGTCATACTTTTTATGTGCGTACCTGTATCACGTTTTATAGTTGAAAACTAGATTTCTAGAACACTTTTGTGTGAAAAATATACTCCTGGTAAAGGTCGCTGCCAGCAATTGTTTCCGAGTTATTGAGATTTGACATCATCAATGCGAGTAATTTGGGATGACATGAAGTTGGAATTCAAAATTGATTTATCAAGGAAAATTATTTTTTTCTTATTTCATTTTAATATAGGAATCGGGTGTTATTACAATTCAATACTAATAATAATAATAACAGTAATTAAGACCAAATCAATATCAAAACAGGTAAATGAGGCAATTGATTAAAGTAATTGTCTAAAATGGCCAAAAAAGTAGATACATAAAGAAGTAGGAATTATCATTTGCTTACTAGCCCAGTCACCTTAGGAAAAATAGCGGGAATCGGAGCCAAAGTTTTGAAAATTGGTGTACGTGTTCCTTTAACCTTTTCGCGACGGGGTTCGTTTGGCGCGCGTGAGCCGCCACAACGGGGTTCGAAAGCGCGTTCGCATTTATGCGGTTCCCGTTGTTTGAGCCCATTTTCAGAAAATATTTCGCAATGATACATTATGAGAAAAACTCAATTTGATTTATAATTTAGTATATTTTGAACGCGAACAAGCCTATCAGTAAACAGTGAACACAATACAGAATGCCTAGTGGACGGAGGCCGCTTCCACCCGCTTCCCGTCAATGTTACATGTGTTGTTATCCGATCATAGACAACGTCAGAAGTGTACGAGAATCCCCGACTAAAACCATCTGAAGACGATGCAAATGAAGGGGATGAGACGATAACGCGCGGTTCCCGTCGTTAGAACACTTCTCCGGTCGATTGAAAATATGCGGCTCCCGTGTATCAGATGCTTCAAGGAAATACGCATATATGCGTTTCCCGTCGCGAAAGGGTTAAGCATTACATCTTACCAAAAAAAAGTCACCACCCGTACCTGTAGAGCTTGCGCCGCCATCTTGGAAAATAGGTGCAATATTTCAGTTTTTCACGTATATCTCGGTAACTGTCAACTTTATCGCGTGATGAAGTAAAAGGAAGCTAACAAAATTTCTCGTAAAAAAGTATCTGTCAATTATTTTCGAAATATCCACGGTTTTGGACTTATGTCGCCACAACCATTTGGCAAAATATGATATTCTACTGCAAACCGACTGGACAAACTATAATTCAGTTAGATACGCTTCTGGTGACTTGCAGAAAAGCATATATAGCTAAAATCGTTCAATGCAAGTCCAGACAGGCTGAAATCATAATTACGTTTTATCCTATCAGTATTCGCTTTTTTTATGTTCTGGTTTCCCCGAGAAAGGATATCCTGTAATGTTCAGAGAACATCGTGAAGACCAAGAGAAATAAGGTAGGGATTGGTGATTGGTGTTCTTCTTAAATTTCTGGAAAATAAAGAATGTCATCTTCGTCATTTGAGAATGCATGCATCGGGTCGGGTTCGTCCGTATTCATTACTTATGAGGGATGAAACGGGAAAAAACGATGCCGTGCATCGTTCCTTGCAATTGCAAGAAATTATCTGGAGCAAAGAATCTGGAGCAGCAGATAGAGTAGTTGACACAGGTACCAGACCAACAGCACTCCTCTTCCACCCCCAAAGCTCAGGACATTTTTGATTACCCAACCACTTTTGTATCTGGTGATTGGCTCTGAAGGAGTGCTGCCTCAAAGCTGCTTCCGTCGGTGGCAGAGAAGCCAGATCTACTTTCTTGTTGGTAGCAGATTTAGCGAACATATTGTACCGGTGCTTGTTCAATGATGTTTCCGTTGTATGGGCACCATACAGAGCTAGAACGAATCGTTCACCTGCTGCAGATACTTCTTCACTGGTCGCTTCCGGGTTGTTGAAAGTCTTCGCAACTTCTCGTAATGACGGCTGGTCCTTCATGAGTTTGAAGCATTTCGGAAGCATTGCGACTTTCCTTTTCTGAAGAAACATGATGTGGTATCACAACATCCAAAGGCATATAAGAAAAATATAGTGCTCTGTAATTTAGTACTGGTTTGTAGTTCGCGGGAACAGTACCTTTTTGCCTCTTTTTAGTTTGACAAAATAAGAGTTGCGTTCTGCTGGAGCCAAATCTATGGGTAGAATAAGTAGATCTACATCTTCTCCAACAACGGTGACTTGGGTAGAGGAAGACATTTCAATAGATGTCTGTATTATTAGCGAATCCGCATTGTCCACTGCTTGCTTTGTGCCTTGAACCCTTCGTTTTTTGTATCTGTGTGAAGTTCAGCTATTTTTGCATGAATGGTGAAAGCAATAATTTTATTCCAATATTCATTCAAGATATCTCAGAATTATTTCAAATCTGATTCGATTGAGTTTATGTAGGGGCTACAATTCATTTATTTCAACATCAAACTCTTACTCTTCGAGCTACTTTAGGTTACAGGTCGGCTCACTTGAGAAAACCTGGATATGTGGCAACACTGGTATTCTGTAATGGCCGATCGCTGTTGCGAGGATCCTCGAATGTGGGGCCGACTCTCTGACATTTACTTGTAGATGGAACATATTATGTATATCAGAATAATTGTGAGTAAGTTTCTCAAATATCGCATATTGTTTCACGATTTACTGATGAACCATGCACTACACGAATATTTATGTAGAGGCCTTTTTTCTTCTAAATTCAATCACCTTCATTTTACCTAAGCATATTGATCTCGATAAAGTCAACAGATATTGAGATATAACCGAATAACTGAAAAAGTGCACACATTTTTCAAGATGGCGGAGTTAGCTCTATAGGTACAGCTGGTGACTTTTTTTTGGTTGAAAGTCATGCCAAAGTAAACATGTACACCAATTTTCAAAACTTTGGGTTCGATTCCCGCTATTCGTCAAATTTGATACTAAGGTGATTGGGCTATACATTCCAATGTTGAATGGTTGAATGTAGGAGAATATTTAATGAAAGAAGAAAAATGCACTGGTGTATCTTTTCTGATATTTACTACTTAGAGGCGACTTACGATAGCCCCTTGGAAATAATTCATGCATGCATCGATTATTTCAAATCCCAATAACTCGAAAACAGGTGCTCGACCTCTACCAAGAATATATTTTTTACACAAAGGTGTTCTAGAAATCTAATTTTCAACTATAAAACATTATACATGTACGCACAAAAAAGTTATGACTGAAAAGACATGTAGGTGGCGCCACCCCCACGAAAGAGACAAACTAACATAAAATTTGATAGTCATTGAAAAATACTCCTAGATACCAAACTTCATTTGAATATCACAATTATATTGCAATTTATTAACAAAAAACAAAAATAAGAATTCAATTTTGACACTGTATCTCAGAAACGAAATATCGGACATATATTTATACGAACTTTTCTTCTTATTTTGACGTCAGCAACATGCCCCTGAAGTTTCTACACGAACTTAAGAAACACCCTGTATAATTAAGTACTAGATGAGTTAGAACATAAAAGATGCCCAGTGGGAATTTTTTGTGACCTCATCAGAACATTTGATTGCGTCCATCATGATCATCTGTTGAGCAAACTTTGGACCTATTGAATTCCTGATACAGCCGCAAACTGGTTCGAATCTGACATCTTTGATAGAAGTCGATATGTTGAAATTGAAGCTACCAAAAAAGACAGTACAGTAGTCTCTAAACAATCAAACACCAGAGAACTCATAATGGGGGTTACCCAAGGGAGTTTTCTAGGACCTGTGCTTTTTTCCCTCTATATTGCTGATATAATTGATTATCTGCCAGGGCATATGATGACTCTACGCTGATGACTCCTCCTTCTTGATCTCAAACGAATCTAACTGCCAGAATAAACAAAAATGCAATTCACTGCTAACGAAAATGTACACATGGTTCTAGACAAACCAGCAATATCTAAACCTCAGGAAAACGAATTTTCTGATATTCCATACTAAACAACTAGAGTTCCTAAATGTAGTTGACACTGCTGTGTCAAGTACATTTAGGAATTCTAACCTATACCGGCCCTAGGAACATGAGTATCACTCACCTCAAATTCAGGAATAGCCTGAAAGCTCTTCTCACTTAGTGAGTTCTTTGACTATGTTTCATAAACTGTTTTTACCTTTCTTGATGGTTTTATCAAAAATCTTTGTAAAACTCATTTTATTTTTGAGAGTAGATACTTATTACTATTATTGTATTGTATTTATTCTAGATATAATCCTGACAAAGTGTATAAAAGTATCAATTCTTGTCAATCATAATAAACTTTTTTTATCCTATTCTAGCCATCGTTAAGCATGGTACATAGGAGTAAGTTATAAACTGAATCACTAAAATAGGGGAGAGAAGTACCAAAATTACTACTAACTACGGAATAGCCACTTCTAGTCTCCACCACAATGGTTTGAAGATAACCTTCAAATAACTAACATCCGTTGACATTGAACTATGAATGCTGACAAAGGAAATCTCATGAGGAACGTGTAGGATTAATAAAAGGTTGTTGGATGTGAGGGTTCCAAAGTTACTCTGGTCTGCGGCTACTCTCTACTTGAAAAGAACTCGTCAATATGGTCATTATAATATAAGTTGTTATTAGGTCTTTATATGCATTGTTGTTCATGTTCATTTATCATCACTACCCTTAATGTTTCATGATACAATGAATTTAGTTGTTTGAATATAGTCTCGTACTTTCAGCTACCTCTCGCAAACCATTTACCCCTTATAAACCGATATGGTTTTTAAGGGGTAAGGTTCATGCATACCTATATAGTGACATGGTGAAAATACAAATTATCAAGATCTACCCTATCTGAGCTACCCTTAAACATGATTCAAGATCTACCCTATCTGAGCTACCCTTAAACATGATCCAGTGGTCTATATCTATCTTAAGGAGACTAGGATCGTGACAATACAAACAATAAAACCTCACCCCACAAGCAGTTCATCACACACAAGCTCAACTGAACTACTAGACACAGACACTAGTATGGCCAATGGTAGAGTAAAACCATGAGGATAAAAGTATTCCTTTCATTCTTACACCCAAACACTGAAAACTTCTGTGTTAGTAGAAGAAACAACTTCAGTAAGGTATTCAAAAATTCAGTCAGCTAGGAAGTAGCATACTCAATATCTCTTCCCATGTTTTGTTTGATTTTCGATATGACATTTTCTCGTTGACTGGAAGGCTTAGGAAATATGGAATATTTTAGGAATCATCTTTAGAAAAGCATATTGCTGTATTCAATATATTATGCATTTATATTCATTACACTCTGTATATTATGAATTTGTGTTAGTTACTTTGTGCTTTGATCGGTTTTATTTTTTTAATTTTGAAGTCGTGTGTACACTGCCCTTCAAATCAGCTGATTTGTCCTAAAGCTAGCTTCACCAACGATTTTGAAACGTCACACTTTTAATACCAGGTGGATATGAACTACACACTGGTATGAAATGAACTTTTGAGAAAACAACAAAATATTATTGACTGTCAAGTTATTCACATTGTCCAATCTGATTTGTTATGCTCACCTTGCCAGCAGCGTCGCATACGCAAAGCGTACAGCTGTCGAAATTGTGGTCTCGGAAGATATTGAAGAGGGTGTCGGTAAGCAAGATGTTGAGAAGGAGACTGGAAGCTTCAGGGGTGCGCTGGATGCTTGGAGTGGTTACTGTGAACAAAAAACGAAGAATTACTTATTATGTAATCACTTCTACAAAAGTTTCTGCATAGTCTGGCCACTACAGGAATTGATACTCCCTAAGGTGACATCGATAAAATTGCTAATTTCATTGATTAGTAGGGAAAATCATATATGTTCTATAAGTTGCTAGTCTTGAAGTATAATCATCAGATATCATATTAACTATAGTAATGTTGAAATGAATATTATTTTATCATCAATCAATCAATTTCTAGCTGGCTATAAAAAGAAAGGCATTCAAATACTCCTGTCAGTTTGACAAACAAAATATTACAAAAAAAGAATGTTTCCCCACCTGAAGATTTTTTCTAGGAAATTTGACTGATATTTTTTACATATAAAGCTGAAAATAGTGTATTCTATTGTCACTGGATGGTATTAGTTAGATTGATTAGAGTTCGGACACAGCTGAACTTTTGTCCTTTTCTATTTTCTATATTACAATGGTTTGAGTGAATAAAAGAATAAGACATCTATTCTGCTCTTTGTCTTTTCAATTTCCCTAATAGCGCCTGATTGTCAGATACGCTCTTAGAGGTTAGATTTTCTGTCAAATCAATCATTGTCGTAGATGGAAAATAAAAATAGGTTATAAACACTCATCTTAATTTATAGCAATACCCTTTTTGCAGATTAATAGTTATAAAAATGGAAATAATTTAAGTAACAACATTTTAATATGGTAAAATAGACACATATGGATAATAAAACTTGAAGATTGTTTTGCTTGAAAACGCGATTCAATGATATATCACGTTGCAATTTACTTGATTGCCTCAGATTTCGTTCTCTAATTTTCAATTTCATTATGTAGTTTCCTCTTTCTCTATGATAATTTTATTTTGCATTTTATCTGATGATAGTGCGATTTTTTTTCAATAGTCTGATTTGTAAATGTTCTGTTTGAAAATGGGCCTAAAATTAGGTTTCATTCCAATCTGCTGTTATAAGAAGTGAATTTTAATGTACTCACCTCACAAATTTTGCTTGTCTCCAAACTAATTTTCCATCCAGGCCGTACCATACATTCCTTCTAAAAGGGAATGGTTGATATTTCCTTTGGAATATTAAAGAAATGAAATCGTCATTTCCTTCAGAATTCCCGCATTCATTACACAGCAGGACATTTTCATTTATGCTTTTTTCTCAATAGTTTATGAAATTATAATTCAATACTGACGTTCACAAAATTCATTGTCAAATTCGAACAATCTTGAATGAAAAAGCGCGGAACGACTATGATGCTGTTGTCACAATGCAAGGTGTGCAGCTTAATAAATCTAAACATTCAAAATCACTAACAGTTGTCATTTCTGTGTCCGAACTCTTATCTAACCATCTTATTCTACATTCAACCTTAACTTTTGAAGCAGAATAATTGGTATTTGGTACAAATTATGTAATTACAGGTAGGTACTTTTAAATTGAGACATCTTTATATCTTGAAAACTAGGGATTAAAAAAAAAACAAGGTCGAAGCTGTTTTATTTTAGAAGCAAAGTAGAAAATTTTCTAATGTTGGGTTTTTTTCAGAGTGTTATTTTCCATCGGGAATTTACATTTGAAATATTATTGAAATATCTTTGCAAGTTGGAAACCTTCTTATGTGTGGCATACCTAAATCACCCTGTATATTCTCTCCATGTATAGCCGAACACTCATTCCTTTTTTCTTGATTGAAACAATTCCCAAACATTTCGATCGCAAAACTCACCTGGCTCGACCGAATTCAAGTTCTTATTCATATACGAGCTGTGCGTCGACGTGGCCGGACTGGCCATCTCGTAGGGCGGCGGGGGCGGCCTGAACCCGGCGTGCAACGGACTGGGCGGAAACAGCCCGCCCACGTCTCGACTGTTGCCCATCGACGCGACCGGCTGCGACGCCACAGCGATCTGATTGGTCGACGGCGTGTTGGTCACGCCCCCGCTACCACTCTGCGCGGTCGGTTGTTTCTCGATGTGTTGCATCCACGACGGCTTGTAGGTGCAGTTGGGGGGCAGCGCGATGGGCGGCAGGTTCTGGCTGGGCAGGTTCGTGAGGGGGGCGTACTTGCTGCTGCCTACCAGCTTGCCGAACACGGGCGGCTTGTAGACGTAGCTCCAGTCCTCTGGAAAGTTATGGAATGGTATGATCAGACGGGAGAGAAGAAGCTACAAAGCATTGGAGGGCATCAGGAAAACATTTGTTTCATTATATCTCAGTACAGTACAAGTCCTTACAATATTGCTTTTCTTGACTATCTTTGGTCAGAGTGTCACTATAGTTTTGATAATTTTTTTATATTTAGAGTATGGACACTCTGGCAAGCAATGAAAGTCAGATATGATCACAAATGAATAGATGAAAACAGCGAGATGTGAACGGTTGGTCAAATTGAGAACAAATTGAAAGTATTGAGCAGTTTGTGCTGTTTCTGATTGTAAAAATACCGGGAATCAATTTACAGAATGGATGGGTGGAATATAAATTCTGCCAACAAATTTCGTGAGGTATTCGAATTGTTTTATAGTATCTACATTAGGTGCACTTCAGACCGGGAAGATTTAATAATTAACAATAAAATTGTATATGGAGAAAAAACCGATACTTAAATTCATAAACCGAATCAATATCAAAAGAATTAACAGCAAATTCTTGAACTATGCCAATGAATCTCATACATTAGTGCATCAGATGTTGGATGATATGATACGAACTATGAATGCTATTTCTTCTTCCTACATTTCAAGAAACAAACATACATGAGATGATCTCATGTCTGTTTTAAAAATAGTTCATTTTCAAAGCTCGTTGAGTGAAACTATTAGGGTATGAACTTTGGAACAACACTTGAATCATTGCTGAACAAGAGCCACCTTGATGGCACTCAATCATTGTAAATGCTGCAAATACAGAGGAGCCAAATAATGATGATATCCAACACGTCAAAAGCAGCGCCTACTGCGCATCGTTCCCTGCTATACTCACCGATATTCTCCTCCTGCGGGCTGCCCATGTTCGGATACACCTCCTGCTTGATTCGCCCCACCCCGACCGCCACCTCCCCGTACTCGGGCGGCACGGGCAGGTCGAGCTGCCCGCACGGCGACGCGATCGGATTGTGCTCGAGACTGGGCGGCGTCGGAAACATCTTGCTCAGCTCCTCCGGCCTGAGGATGCCGACGTTCGGGCAGCCGCCGCCATGCGAGCCCGACAGCCGTTTGCCACCGCCCTCCGGATCGTGATGGTGGTGGTGGGGGTGGGGGGCGGTGGAACCGGGCGGCGTTTGGATTTGCATCTGCAAAGGGATGGGCTCGTGTAGAAGCGTGCATTTTATTTATGGGGAGTGAAATGTTTTCTACATTATAGACCATTTTAGCAGAATGTGGTCCAAGAGGGAACTAATTCTGGATATCAAATTAAATATTCTTCTGTTGGCAACACTTGGGCAACACAAACAATATGAAAAATTCGAGAATGAAATGTCATTCTATATATACCAAAAGTTCCGTGCTAGACAAAAATTTCAAAGAATAGGTCTTTCCGAGGCTATACGGAAGAATTCTTTATATTATATTCTATGGAACACAACCTATAATGTATTGAGAGATGAAAAAAATCGAATATTGTGTTTTATTACATCATTTTTATATTTAAATCAGATGCAGATTATTTAATTAAAATGGAGATCCACATTCAATGAATTCAAATTCTTGTGAGGAAACATCCACACCAGTTCGGCAATATGTGATTGATTGAGTATTATTAGTTATACATACATTCAATTTTCGTTTCGTCCTTTGTAATTTGATTGTACTAAAACGGGAAAATTATAACGTGAGAATAAAAAATAAAGCAACAGTATACAGTCTGTCCAAGATAAGGTTGCACAACATGGGGATCTCGGAAACGGTAGGAGATACGAAGTCGGTTAAATGGGGAAAAAGTTGCGCATTCGGAGGCTCATACCAACAGCCTTCGAAAATTTTCAAATTTTTTTTAGTTTTTCAGTTATATCGAAAAAAGTGAATTTTTGGAATCTCTATTTTATTTTTTTTTCTCCGTTATTATTAGAGATACAGGAAAACTGAAAATACTTTTTCATAGCAACTTTTGATGACGTTCAACGTGGTGATACCGATTTTTCTATGCGACGTTTCGTATCCGTAGAACCATCATCAACTTTTGTTTTTTAAATACGGCCCTGATAATTCTTTCACAGATTCTGAAAGCTTTTTTTATTCTGAATTCAACCATGTATTATACAAGGTGGTTTGAATGTGTTTCGAACTATTTTTAGTCATCATCAATGTTTTTTTCGAAATTCCAAAGGAAAAATGCCATCAGTTCCACTGCAAGTTCCAGTTCCAGCAAGAGCAATTTTCAATCTGCAACTACAATTTGTATCTTGAATGAAACAGTAGGAAGTGAACGTGTTACTTTTGTATCTTGCTCAGTTCGATTCAACTCAAAATGTCAGTGTAGATGCTCTCAAGATACCCATTGAGTTTACCCAATAACCTAAATAATTATCATTCTGTAATTCTGTAAAACGAAGGCACATGAGTATAACCTCTCCAAACTTTTCACACTCATTCATTCAAACCATGTATAATGAAACCCTTTTAAAATGTGACTTTTAGTCGAGCCTTTAGTAAAGGGGGTAAAGTCGCGTCCAATATAATCAGAAAAGAACCTTGAACAAAGTCGTTTTTACATAATTATTATTCCCAGGATTTTTTAGGAGCACCATTATCATCATACATCTCAGGAGGAAATTAGCATAAGGTTGTTTTGTACTTACGATCACCTCAAAAGAGTATGGACCCAGTATCGCCAAAAACCTATATTACGCCATAACAGACTCACTTATCAGGTATGGAATATCCTTCTGGGATGCATGTAACAAGCAGCTATTCAAATCAATTTTCTTAATATTGCCATGAGATATGGGATGTACCAGTTGATTTATTTTCAACGGAAATGGCCATGTATTTTCCAAAGAATAAAATTCAGGCAATAGGACCAAAAATATTTAGCAGCAATTAGTTGCTCTCAACAACTTGCTCAGGAGAGCTTACGTCGAGGGTTGTTCTAAGAATTTCTTTTCACCTAGGTTGGAAGAGAACTTTTATCAATTCATCAATTATCTCTCTAGTATCAGAATAAGCCAATGAATGTAATGGAAAGTATTCTGGCAGTTTCAATTTTCAGATATTTTATAGACTGGTCTCATAATGATCATCATATTTTAAAAAACCAGCAGAAATCACGTCCAAGTCTAGTTTCTCCAATATTTCTTTCCAATGTGAATTTTGATTAAAAGGTTTGGAACTCATTTTATGATGGAGAAAATGTTCTCAACTATTGTATATACAGGGTGTTTCATAATTGGATGTCAATATTCGAGTAGGCGATTCTCGAGCCCATTCTAAGAAGAAATTTTCATATGAAAGTATGACCTAAACGTCCTAACTTTTTAGATACAGGGTGGTAAAGTTCTCAAAAATTAATAAAGCCTATTACAATGGAAAGTTATAATTCCAAAATACCAAATACGAATAGAAAGTTCATAAACTATGAATTGTATTACTGAAATTTGATATAAAGATTAAAATCTATTTCTCTGCATTGTGATATTGTCATATTAACGATATTGCTATAATCATGTAGTGAAAAGCTTTTTATTTTTTCAAGCGAAAACCGTGCATCAGATTGAAAAAATTGTGGTGATCAAATTTGCTTAGAAATGATTGGGAATTTCAGGAATGATTTCAATTTCGAGATTAATCAGTGGAGTACCATCAATGTCTGCCAAAATAGGTATGTGAAATTCCATACGAACACCACTGGTAGCAACCAAAAAACATGTGGCACACTAACTGATGCCTCTTGATACATAGTACATGTATGCCAAAATTCATTAGAATATCTGAAGTGGTATTACAGATATTAATAAAAAACTATTAATTTTTTAGAACTTTACCACCCTGTATCTCAAAAGTTAGGACGTTTAAGTCATACGTTCATATAAAACTTTCTTCTTAGAATGGGCCCAAGATACGCCTCCCCAAATATTGACATTCAATTATGGAACACCCTGTATACAACTTTCTTTTATCTCTATCCAAATAACCACTCTGGTTTGTCTAAAAGGAAAACTCATAGGATTGATAATATAGAGAAAATAACACACAACAATAATTGTTTCACTTAGTACTAACCTTTACTAGGTGCATCTCACAATAATTATTATATTATTGTCATGAGTTTTTTGATCTTCAGTTTCTAATATCAATTACACAAAAGAGATAGAATTACATGTGAAAAGGAAAGAAGCAAAAAATTCACTTTTTATAATAAATTTCAATTCAGCGATAAAAGAGAAATTGTAGTAAATTTAGGAACATTTCATGTATCATCTATGCATTGTGGTTCATATTTTCAATAACACGTTTTTGCTTCATCTTGAAACAATATATAAATTTGTATCTAAATAGTGTAATCTAGGGATGTGAAGAATTATTTAGTCAATTGTCCTCACCAGATGAATTAATACCTGAATAAATACTCAATAATAGGTTCAAAATAAATATATTTTTGATGCAGATAAATTTTATAGTTTGTAGAAGATAATTATTCAAAAACTTTCATCAGAATCTCCTTCTTCATAAAATAATGAAAATAACAGTACCAAACACTTAACAAATGAGTTAGAAAAAGTGTTGTCAACTCAAAAATTCTATATTTCTCAATAATATCTCTTATCACTTGAACTTATAACCAATCTTGAAGTTTCTGTCCAAACAGAATACAGAATTGCATAGCAATATTGTTTTACATGGTGTCCCAAAATTGCTGGGACACAGAGCTACCACGTGTAAAAAAGGTCAAAATGAGTTGTTTGGACCCAATTTATTTATATACCTAAATGTACCGTTTGTACCTTAGAAGAGTTCAAAGTTTACATACAAAAATCACATTTTAATTCTGTTCAGAAATGATTGAAACAAATTTAATGAAATTTGACAAAAGTGTAATGTAAACTTAGAACTCTTCTCACGGACAAACGGTACATTTTGGTACGTGGTAGCTGTGTGTTCTAGTGATTTTCGGACACCATGTATATTATGATCATAAAAATATTGTTATCATCCCAATGTTATTACCTGAAATGCCTGGACTTCATTCACCGTTTGCCAAATAGTTTCAGGCATTCCATGTAATGAGGAAAGGAGGTCTATTTAGGCCGAGTAAGGTTATAGAACCAGTAGTCTCTTTTGTTTTCTCACGTAAGTTTCCGAAAAATATACCTTCTAGGAAGAAGGTTCATTTAGGTCAAGTTTGGTTAGATTTTGTTAAGGAATAGTATTATTAGGATTTGACAAGCGAATTTTGCATTTGCAGGCGGGGCGTCTAGCGAAAACGTTCCTATATTCCATCATTATTTCAAATTCAGAGATGCTACATAGACTATTATCTGTTGGAATATTGTGCAGTTTCTGTTTAAAGAGTCTAAGTGATAAGTTCCGAAGTTGTTCGGGCAGCATATTGTAGTTTTATATCCTTGTTAGATCTTCTTTCCAATCTCTTCTGAGGGGGGTACCAGGTTTTGCTTGTGCCTTGTATTGTAATTGTTCGCCGGCAATACATTAGGAATAACGGATTTCACTGTTTGACGCCAACAGATACAAATTAAGTGTATTTCGATTGGATTTGACTTACCGCCTCATCGCTACTGGCATAATCGGAACTGTCGAAGATCTGGTCCAGGTCCTTGATGGAGGGCTGCAGCCCCTCGCTGGTGAACAGGTTGTCCGTCATCAGCTTCTTCACGTCCTTGTTCTCCTCCTTCACCGCCACCTGGCCGCGCTTGAAGCCGTCCATGTGGCAGTTGGCGGCGTTGCCGTCCTCCTCGAACTCGTAAGGGTCGCCGGGCCTTTTGACACCGTGCGGGTGCGAGTTCGGCATCGCCGCGGTGTTTTCCGGCTGGAAGAGATTATAGACAATACTTAGAGTTTTTTCTACTCCCGAATTATACAATACGCGGATTAAATATATGCTACCTATTATTCAGGCGGGGTCATACCAAAATACTCTTGATATCAGTTTTATCAAGCTCCACCTGATAGCCAATATAGCTTAACCGTATTTCCCGTTTCCCGTGTTGAAATCAGTTAGGATTTGGACAAACAGTACATTTAGAAATGTTACCAGATTTCGACACCAGAAGCGATCAGTGTTGAAACCAGTGAGCGTTTGTAGTGGGCATACATTTACAAATGCTCACTGATGTTGATACTGGTCAATTTTGCAATCTCTTGTTGAACATATACATAATTGACATTTTTATAATATTTAATTACGCAAGTTTTAAAAGTATTTTAAGGATTTTGTTAAAAATTGAGATTACTTCATGTCCCGCAGTTTTAAAGATTTTTTTAGTTAAAGTTGGCAATACTGAAAGTTGTCGGTTGTCGTCCGCATTCCGCATGTTTCTGTTTTCACACATGCATCTATCACGTCATTCTCGGTCCTATAAATTTGACAAGAATTATTATGATAGTTTTGGTACACTTCAAAACTTTAACTATTTATATGCAGTCACTATACCTTTGTATAGTATGTTCAACAAGTGTTTGCGAAATTTAACACCGTGGTGTCAACATCTGATAGCCTCTGGTCTCCAAATCTATTGGTGATTATAAATGTACTATTTGTCCAAATTCTCACTGATTTGGACACTCTGGTGTCGACACACGCTAGGATATGTAAATATGCTTCCCGTTTCACTATGCATCAGCATGTCAGAGCTGATTATGATTAAACTTTTCGCGATTGGGTCTATGAACGAATTTGGCAACGATGTGAACAGGAGAAAATTCGTGTGTTTTATGCATAAAATATATGGTTCTGTGTCATTCATTGAATGCAAATTTCATTTGGTCTTTGATATCAAATCAAAATATACTTTAATGTATGAAAAATATATTTCTCATTGACAAAGTCGATATTTTAAAAATAAATTGAAGGAGTTGTGATTGTTGAGGACATTAAAAATTATTCGACGTCAAATCTTCTTTTCTTTTGCAGTTGGCGGTGTTGCCCTCCTCCACGGAACTCGTACAGGTTCGAGTTCGGCATCGCCGCCATGTTTTCCGGCTGGAAGAGATCTCATACATTGATGGAACTTTTTGAAAACGCCGTTGAATTGTTATTGGTAGAAGAGAAAAATCTCAGTTTCGGATTACATTATTTAGGTTCCGAAAATTGGCCATTATAAAAAAAATATCCTCACCATTTTGAAGTGTAACTTACAGTATCATAACTAAATTCAGTAAATCAGGAATATTCTCTATTAATTTGATTTCGAAAAACAAAATCTCGCCAGTTCAATAATATAAATAGATATCAATAACGAAATTTGTAACTATGTAGCCAATTATCTACAGATAGCCATTTTTGTGATGATATCCATTTTGTACACTCTGATAACGGAATATCAATGATTTTTTCAAGTTCCAGAAAAATGATATTGAAAATTCTGTACTTCAATTACCAAACAATACTAGTAATAATGACGTTTGCGTTTTCAAAATCCTTTTCTTTTTGTAATATGCAAGCTTTAAATACCAGTGAATATAGGAGTGAATGAAAATCTTGATGTCTCAAACAGTGTACAGTGCTGAAAAATGAATAACTACACAATTGATTGGACAATTTTTGATAACAGGGCATAAGGAAGAAAAAATACCCATCGCCGAAAAATCATTACACATTGAAACATAAAGAGAGCATACACAAGAATTCAAATTTCCCAACTTAGGAATCAATATCAGCTATCAATCACTGGATCAATCCAGTACAATCGGTATCTTTCGAAGCAGAGCAGCACTCACCATCAGTCCAGGTTCCAATTTGATCTCTTGCTTGATGTTCACTTGCGGTTGCATTTTGTTGTTGTTGGTTGCTTCGATGTTCTGGTTGACATTGGAATTTTTGTCGTACAGAGAATAGATGTCGGTCTTCCCTATCCTGTTCAATCGGTGGTTTTCTTTGCCGTCGGGTTTGAACTTTTTCACAGGATGGTTGAGCCAAGCGTCCATGGTGGAGTAGTCGTAGAGCATTTCCAGGGTTTGTTCTTCCTCTCCCAAGGCAACCTGAAAATTATAGAGATTGTCATGTTATTATCAGAACTCAAAAGTCTAGGAATTGAATGACAACACAAGCTTGGGGTATTCACAATAGATCCTCTAGATTACAGTGAAAAAGAGGCTGTTGCATCATGGATGATCCACCTACAATCTACAATCTGAACTTATGCAACACATTTCAATGGATTTCAAATGGAAAAGAGCATTGTGTTGAAGTCGGGAGAGATTCTCCAGAAATCATTGAAGCCATGTGAAAGATTATCACAACTGATCATGATAAGTTAGACAATTCATATTGTGAATGTAATAAAATTGGCCCAACTGTCAGAATTATTGTATTTCTATCAGATCAAGAACTGTTGAATTGTGAATTATCAAAAATAAGAACAAGAACAACTTCTTGGAATCTTTGTTTTTCAAAATAATTATATTTGACATTGACAAAAGACAATGCATTCAACAAATGACAATCAACTTGACAGTAACTGCTCCCAAGAAATAGCACACTTTTTCCAAGTGAAATATGGTCAATTACCTACTCACGCCATTTTCTCTAGAAGAACTGACAGATAATAGAGAGAAAAGCATGAACTACTAATTAATCTTAAATTTCACAGGCTACTTTGACCAATTTCCAGTAGTTATGCTTCCTGAGCAAGTTATATTTGTTGTATTTGCTCATTTTCTCCACGATTTATTGCTCTTCCAGTTTGAACTTGTTTCTTTTTATTCGAAATTAATTATTATTGATTGTTTTTTTCAGTCTCATCTGTCACTGAAAGTATCATCATGGTTATTGATTGATTGATCGATTGTCTTTATTTCCCCAAGAAACATATCTGTTTATAATAGACATGTACACATATCAAAAATATATTAATGATAATGAAAAGTCAACTTATGAAACAAATTCATACTTTTTCTTTAGATGAAAGTTATAACATTTCAATTCTGAGTAATGAAATCACGTCAAATATTCTTGATTCAGATTGTCCTGGCCAGGTATTGTATCAAATGTTGCTGCCAACTCAATGTGTAACGGTGAGACATGTAAATAAGACACCATACCTTTTTTCTGTCCTGCGACCGATAGATACATGCATCGGCCCAAAGTAATCTATGCCAACATAATTAAAGGGAAACAATGTTGATTCAATTCTCTCTGCTGGTAGATTACCCATTATTGGAGGCATAGGTTTAGCATTTCGAATTCTGCATAATTGACATTTCCGGAACCTTTTTTCAACTGTGGCTCGAGCATGCAATATGCAATATACAATATTTCAGACGCAAATTGTTCACAACAGTCTCGATTCCAAAATGGCCAGTATACCTACACTTCGGGTCCAAAACTATGGGATACTTTGCATCATATTCAATATCAGCTTCATTTGAGAATCTTTCTCCCATGCGAATAATCTTGTATTCATCCAGAAATACTGATAATTTGAGAAGACGACTCGATTTTTGATGATCTTGTAGTGATGTAATAGATCAGTTGATGATCCGAAATAGGTTAAAGTTCTATAATTTTGATTATTATTCTTGATGGTAGGATAAACTTCTTGCATAGCTTTATTATGAAGTTTTTTAGAAATAATACTGTCTATCAGATTAACGTTGTATCCGTTGTCGACTGCAATCTGTTTTATACTTTTGAGTTCTTTATTGAAATTTACTTCCGAAAGAGGGACATTCACTAGCCTGTGTATCATACTATTACATGCTGCAATTTTATGTTGATAAGGGTGTGTTGAATTGTTATGAATAGTGATATCAGTGTGGGAAGGTTTATGAAAAATTGAAAAATCATGTTTATTATTAATTTTACTTATTGTCAAATCTAAGAAATTGATTGACTTTTCTGTTTCTATTTCCATATCGTTTCATTTAATTCACGAATTGAATCATTAGTTTTATTTAGCCCATTTCGCCACCGGAATCACTTTGATGTGTCGATTTATCTGCAACTTTTCCGATTCCGGTTGCTACTTTTCATTCCGTCTCACTACAAGGAATGACGTTGACAGTTGTGAAAAAATTATATTGGATTGACGAAAAATGAACCTTTTTGAAAGTAGAAGCTGGTAGAAGACATTTTGCAGACATTTTTATCGTGAAGTTCACGAGTTCATGATTTTTCCAAGTAAGACAGGTTTCATTCATGTTCATTCCCAGAAAAAAGTTTCTCCAATCACCACAATCACTGCTCCAAATATTCGTTGAATGATTTTCTTGATTTGTAACTCTAGTATCATGATTTTGAAATTATTTGGAGCCCCATTTATATAAATATAACCTCATGTGAATTCTCCCAGGCAAGGTCATGAAGTGACTCGTTTTATTTGCAAACGTCATTGTCTTCCCACCACCGATACCAGAATGGAACAAATAAAACGCAACCATTGATTTGCCCACTCACCTCGTACTCTTTGCTGCTCAACGTCGGCCTCTTCAGCGCCGGCGCACTCACCGCTCCGCCCCCTCTCTCCCTATCGCCCTTACTCTCGCCCGACCCGCCCGGACTGTGATCCGCCCCGCCGCCGCTATCCACGCTCTTGGGCTGCCCGCCCACCTCCGGCGTCCTACCACCGCCCTTGTCGTCGGGCGAGCGGTAGTCCGCGTGGTGGTTGAGGTGGGGCGAGAGGGCGGGCATGGCTGGCGGCACGGAGGCTGGTTGCGAGGGCGGGTTGGGCAGCGGCGAGGGCGCCACCGAGGGCGGCGATCCCACCGACGGCACGGCCGTGGATTCCTGGGTGCGCGGGTAGGAGGGCGGGCCGCCTTGGGGGGTGTACGAGCCGGTGCATCTGGAAGCGAGAGGCATGGGGGTGTTAACACAGAATTATATACTCATCTAGAAAATGCCAATATGTACGAATGCGCGGAAACAAAATTACACACTACAGATAAGGTATGTGCACTTCGAAATTTGCGCATTGCGACAGCATCGACGTAAAATCTAAAATGTTTTATGTCATCGAGGGTGAAACTATGGAGATATTAAATGGTACATGAATTCTACATCAATTACTCCATGTCAGTTTCTAAGAAATTATAGAACTATATATGATTCAGTGACAAGTTTGATGGAAATTTCCACAGAACAACCAGTTTGATATATCCATTTGACAATGGCAACAGTGTGTGAAATGGAGGGAGTTGTCATAGCTGTAGCGCAAGCCCCAGAAGTGCACGTGCGCGAAATCAATTTGGGTCGATAAATTTTCCATGCATTGGCATTCTAGGTGAGTGTATTTCTGTGGGTGTTAGTTTACGAGTTTAGAATAGGATGGTTCAATGGATCGAATAGAATTTATTCGAGATAGGATTCCTAATATCAACACTTCCAATAGTTTGATTAAATATAGAAAAATGAATATTTAGTTTTTCGTCATTTCATCATAGCAAGCCTCTTGGTTTCAGGTACTCCTCAATACATTTTTTAAAGTTTCTTCGAACAGTCTCACATTCTTTTATGCTCTGAGGAAGAGAATTATATTGTTTCAGTCCTTTATAAAACATTCTGTAGCGATGACCGAGTTATCAGTCTTTTTTTATATCTTATATATTATTATTGGATATTGAAGTGGATATCTGGTTGCAAATTATTATATACAGGGTGATTCACGGTAGATGGCACTTTGACGTTTCTGGAGAACGCAACTCAGGATTATTCTGAAAAGTTGGTGCCTTGGATAATTAGTTGTGTTCAAGTATTAATACACGAAATACTTGAACATACATTTGAGATATCTGATCAGTTGTGGGAGATTAACATATTGAAATGAATTAGTAATTGAGAACAGATAGTGTAAGTATAGTTGATGTTATTCTACAAGAATTATATCAAGTTATGGTGATTTCATGCACGACTTAACTTAGTCTTGAATTAAGAATTGAAAAAGGCGAATTCCAAATTGAATGATTCCAATCCAATACTTTACTTTATAATTCAACGAAAGTGGAACCAATACTTCAGCGATTCCACCGACTCAGCAAGAAATTTTCAAAATCTACCAACAACATCCCGATCATTACGCCACAAATCATTTCCACCCCCGTAAACTTCCGACGAAAACATAAATATCCAGAAACCACCATCTCCCAAGGATTAAGCCAGCTGCAACAGGAAGACTAATATTTTGTGATTATCTGTATAAATTGTGTTTTTTATCTCTCTACTTTCTATTAGATCTATCATGTATATTTGGCGATCATAGTGTATAAGTTTGTGAATAGGCTGAAAGACTCAGGTCGATAGCCTGTTGGGTAATCCCCATATAAAGATTGTTTCTCTCTCTCTGATTCCAATCATCACAAATTATTCTCAAGTTAGGGTCAAGTCAGACATGAATTCACCATCAGTAGGTTTCTGAGTATGAACAAGCAAGTAGTGAAGCTATTAATGTGTAAATTCTATATTCTAAAACTTTAATAAAACATTCATTAGATAACATAATAAATATTGTGGTATTTTCATTTCAATTTTTTCAATCATTTAGATGACAACTGTCAACAGAAGAAGTGTTATTCCCAAGTTATTCTGCTATTGTTTTAAAAATATCCTTTGTTATTATTGGGAATTTAAATAATCAGAAACATAACTAATATAGTGTTAATTTGAGCTCATTGTCATGTCAGAAAAATCAATAACTCATGTTTTAACAATGGAAAAACCTAATATTGTTGATTGACTTCTCTAAATAACAATCATTCATGTTTTTCTGGAGACTAGATTTTTCCAATTGTAAATAATACACACTTGAACCTCCCACGTTTGCTGTCTAGTATGCTAACATATCCTGATGAATGAATATGAAACCTATATGAAACTTCGAATTCAATACAGTAGGAGACGATATTCAACATTAGGTGTGATTTTTCATTTTCCAGCCCGCCACCCCTCTTCTTACAGTTTGGACAAATTTTAAGACAATGGAATCTGAAATTGCAATCCATATAGTCTAAGATCCCAAGCAAGGTTGACCTTTACCCATCTGCTTACCAGATAAGAATTATATTTTATCAAATAAAATATGTTTCTCTGATCATGTTCCTACAGGGTTGACATAAAAAAAAATGTTCATGGCTATTATTAAATAAGTATTATTAAAATAATTCATTTTTAAAACAAAAAAGAAGTCCCAAATAATTTTTCATCAAAATTACAGAACCACAAAACACGTGCTTACAAACGGACTGTTGGATCCCAAATGTTTCTCTGCAGCATTTAGCTTATCTATCCTTACTCAGAATTTTTTCAATTTAAACGCCTGATAACTGTTATTCATTAAAGGATTTTGCAAAAAAATCCTATACCACTGTATTCCTTATTAAACTGCCTATATTTTGATATATTTTACAAGTGGTAAGCATATAAGTGCAATTATTGATATCAAATTACCTGTTTGTACATGGCAACCATGCAATAGGGACCAGTAAGTAGGCAACCTAGCTATTCCATATTCTATATGTTGAATGCTTTCCATTAGAATTTCGTTTATTTGGCAAGCAAGTCAGTGAAATTGTGAAGGTCAACTTTACTTGGGATCCTCTACTAATTCAACCATGGTTTGATCATCACACAGTTGAACATTAATTTGTAAATAATTCTTTTGGTTTTCAAAATGTCATAAGAAATTCGAATTTTTTGAAATTGTCATTGAAAGCGCATGCGTGGTTACAAATTCCACCTTAGTAATGCAAGCCAATATTTTGTATCTTCATCAAGAGTTCCTAAATGTACTTGACACTGCTGTTTTGACGTTTTTTTGTATATTTAGAGTACGGACACTATGACAAGCACTGAGAATCAGACATAACCACAAATAAATAAATGTAAAAAGCGGGAACTGACAGTACACGGACGAACATGACATAAATTTCAAATGTTTGACAAATTGAGAGAATTAGGAGAAAGATGCAAATGTGTGCAGTTTCCAACTGTGAGAACACGGGAAATCAATTCACTCTATTCGAATTTCCATTGGATAACATAATTCAACGCATTTTTATCAGTTACACTTCAGAACGGAAGATTTGATGTTGAAGAATAGGATCGTATTGAGAGAAAGAGCCGAACCCACATTTTATAAACTGAGCTAGTATCGAAAAGAACTTTTATTCCAATTTAGACTCTGCCAGTAGCACGAATCGGCTCGATATTGGCTCGTTATTGGCCCAATATCGGCAATATGCTACTATGGTGGTTATTGCTTGTGATGGAATGATGGAGAAATAATTTTCTTATCAATTTATCGTACCCTTTTACCCAATCGAGGAGACGCTATGCACTCTCATACAAAAACCAGAGACAGAAAGAGATATATGGATGTACTCTTCCTAGGACTTGTGGAGGAAGGAAGATGCGAGGATCCTTTATCTAAGCGAAAAACATATTCTTGTCCTTGTCTGGCAAAACATTTGATTTGCTTCAAAATCGTTTGTGGTTATGTTTGATTGTCACTGCTTGTCTAGTGTCCGTACTCTAATATACAAAAAACGTCAAAACAGCAGTGTCAAGTACATTTAGGAACTCTAATCAATGTTAGCGTGTTCTTGCTTGTACTACTAGCATTGTCATTATGTTAAAGATTCCAGACCAGCTAGAAATCAAACTTGTGACGACGGTTTCTTAAAATTTGTCCAAATTACGAAGGTAGAAATGAGCGACCAACCTTTCAGGTGGCGTCATTGATAAAGGGGAGCGTCTATGGAAGGGCACTTTACCACTGGTTGTCTTCCCATTTGTGTTGACTGCACGTCCTAAGAACTTTTTACACCTGAAATTCATTCATACATTTCAATGGCTTAGTTCTTTGTATCTCACCCAACAATCATCATCAATGAAATCTAGTGAAAATTGTGGAACTTTCAGAGCAAAATGACAAAGAAAAATGTAAGTTACACATATGCAAGTTACACATGCAAGCTGTGCAATTGAATATAATTCAAATTTACAGTGTGAAAATGACGAAGTTGTACTATTTTGTTCCTCACCCTGTATCTCACACTGTATGATTGGTACACAACTTTTTTATAATGAGATGGACAAAAACAATATCAAAGATGAAAACTTTCCCTGAACTTTTTACAAGGTTTTGATTGTGTGTATGAATTTTCATCATCATGGCTGTTTTTCTATTACTATACAGGTTCACCTGCAGCTTTTAACAAGCATATGCATTAAACCTTTTTTTTTTATAAACATTACTTCAAAAACGATATGGTTCCTAAGGAATTAAAAATTAGAGAATATTTGTAAGTTTTGTCACCTGCAGAAGTAACTATATCAGCAAAACATGGCATGTTCTTATAAATGTCGTGAAAATCTCAAGATTTGTGATCATTTTTTTCTACTAGCGTGCGCAACGCTGACGCGTCGTTTGATTGATCTATAATGATCAGAAATATTTGTGAATTGCTCTCCAGTGTTTGAGACATTTCAAGAGTGACCTTGCACTTGGATATTTCCTGTTTCACGAATGTGTCAGGATCATCTCCAATGTTCTATCTAGAACTATCTTGAATATTCAAAAATGTTCTCAAATGGTTCTGAAATTTCAAGGATGTTCTAGAATTATCCCACAAATATTCAAAATGTTCTAGAAAAGTTTCAGGAATGTTCTTGAATAATCTCGAAAGTTCTAGAAATTCCAGAAATGTCATGGGATGATTTGAATATTTCAGGAATGTTAACCCGCATTTCTGAAATGTTGTCCTAGAAATGTAATGAATCTGGGATCATTAAACAACATTTTTTCAAGATTTTTGCTTCAGTTAGTTCAGTCACATTTCAATAGATCCCAGATTTTTCAGCCAGTATGCTCTAGATAGTTCTACGTCTGTTTTATCCTCACCTCAGATAATTCATTGCTTAAAATACTTAAATTAGATGATAACATTATTTCAACTAGGGAAAAAGCCAAATACTCAAAGTGGAATGCATTGGTCACAAAGAGAGAAACTCAAAGTCATTACCACAACTAGTTCATAAAATGAACGACAATGGTAGATAACGAGAGGAAAACAACTACTTTCCTGGCTATATGCCACGCAGAACATTGCATTACATCCTCCCGAAACCTATGCGATAGTTCGTACAAACGAATAAAATCGCAAGTGTTTCCTTCCTAAACGCTGAGCTGCGCTTAAGTGGTTCAGGAACGCTGACTACCTGCAGACCGGTTTCGAGCTCTTGGCTCTCATCAGTACAGGGCTGTCCCAGATAGCTTCTTGACCGCTATCTGGTGCGAACCTGACCCAACGTAAACGCATCTCAGCATTTATACCATACGAGGCGTACGACGTCTGCGAAATGAAAACGCGAACGCCGAACGCCACCTGGCAAGGAAAGAAACACTCCAAAACAAAATCCCACTTCAGGTGAAATGGGAGTGGCTGGTTGCCCGACTGGCGTGTTTTCAACTAGGGAAAAAGCCAAATACTCAAAGTGGAATGCATTGGTCACAAAGAGAGAAACTCAAAGTCATTACCACAACTAGTTCATAAAATGAACGACAATGGTAGATAACGAGAGGAAAACAACTACTTTCCTGGCTATATGCCACGCAGAACATTGCATTACATCCTCCCGAAACCTATGCGATAGTTCGTACAAACGAATAAAATCGCAAGTGTTTCCTTCCTAAACGCTGAGCTGCGCTTAAGTGGTTCAGGAACGCTGACTACCTGCAGACCGGTTTCGAGCTCTTGGCTCTCATCAGTACAGGGCTGTCCCAGATAGCTTCTTGACCGCTATCTGGTGCGAACCTGACCCAACGTAAACGCATCTCAGCATTTATACCATACGAGGCGTACGACGTCTGCGAAATGAAAACGCGAACGCCGAACGCCACCTGGCAAGGAAAGAAACACTCCAAAACAAAATCCCACTTCAGGTGAAATGGGAGTGGCTGGTTGCCCGACTGGCGTGTTTTCAACTAGGGAAAAAGCCAAATACTCAAAGTGGAATGCATTGGTCACAAAGAGAGAAACTCAAAGTCATTACCACAACTAGTTCATAAAATGAACGACAATGGTAGATAACGAGAGGAAAACAACTACTTTCCTGGCTATATGCCACGCAGAACATTGCATTACATCCTCCCGAAACCTATGCGATAGTTCGTACAAACGAATAAAATCGCAAGTGTTTCCTTCCTAAACGCTGAGCTGCGCTTAAGTGGTTCAGGAACGCTGACTACCTGCAGACCGGTTTCGAGCTCTTGGCTCTCATCAGTACAGGGCTGTCCCAGATAGCTTCTTGACCGCTATCTGGTGCGAACCTGACCCAACGTAAACGCATCTCAGCATTTATACCATACGAGGCGTACGACGTCTGCGAAATGAAAACGCGAACGCCGAACGCCACCTGGCAAGGAAAGAAACACTCCAAAACAAAATCCCACTTCAGGTGAAATGGGAGTGGCTGGTTGCCCGACTGGCGTGTTTTCAACTAGGGAAAAAGCCAAATACTCAAAGTGGAATGCATTGGTCACAAAGAGAGAAACTCAAAGTCATTACCACAACTAGTTCATAAAATGAACGACAATGGTAGATAACGAGAGGAAAACAACTACTTTCCTGGCTATATGCCACGCAGAACATTGCATTACATCCTCCCGAAACCTATGCGATAGTTCGTACAAAATGTAATGCAATGTTCTGCGTGGCATATAGCCAGGAAAGTAGTTGTTTTCCTCTCGTTATCTACCATTGTCGTTCATTTTATGAACTAGTTGTGGTAATGACTTTGAGTTTCTCTCTTTGTGACCAATGCATTCCACTTTGAGTATTTGGCTTTTTCCCTAGTTGAAAACACGCCAGTCGGGCAACCAGCCACTCCCATTTCACCTGAAGTGGGATTTTGTTTTGGAGTGTTTCTTTCCTTGCCAGGTGGCGTTCGGCGTTCGCGTTTTCATTTCGCAGACGTCGTACGCCTCGTATGGTATAAATGCTGAGATGCGTTTACGTTGGGTCAGGTTCGCACCAGATAGCGGTCAAGAAGCTATCTGGGACAGCCCTGTACTGATGAGAGCCAAGAGCTCGAAACCGGTCTGCAGGTAGTCAGCGTTCCTGAACCACTTAAGCGCAGCTCAGCGTTTAGGAAGGAAACACTTGCGATTTTATTCGTTTGTACGAACTATCGCATAGGTTTCGGGAGGATGTAATGCAATGTTCTGCGTGGCATATAGCCAGGAAAGTAGTTGTTTTCCTCTCGTTATCTACCATTGTCGTTCATTTTATGAACTAGTTGTGGTAATGACTTTGAGTTTCTCTCTTTGTGACCAATGCATTCCACTTTGAGTATTTGGCTTTTTCCCTAGTTGAAAACACGCCAGTCGGGCAACCAGCCACTCCCATTTCACCTGAAGTGGGATTTTGTTTTGGAGTGTTTCTTTCCTTGCCAGGTGGCGTTCGGCGTTCGCGTTTTCATTTCGCAGACGTCGTACGCCTCGTATGGTATAAATGCTGAGATGCGTTTACGTTGGGTCAGGTTCGCACCAGATAGCGGTCAAGAAGCTATCTGGGACAGCCCTGTACTGATGAGAGCCAAGAGCTCGAAACCGGTCTGCAGGTAGTCAGCGTTCCTGAACCACTTAAGCGCAGCTCAGCGTTTAGGAAGGAAACACTTGCGATTTTATTCGTTTGTACGAACTATCGCATAGGTTTCGGGAGGATGTAATGCAATGTTCTGCGTGGCATATAGCCAGGAAAGTAGTTGTTTTCCTCTCGTTATCTACCATTGTCGTTCATTTTATGAACTAGTTGTGGTAATGACTTTGAGTTTCTCTCTTTGTGACCAATGCATTCCACTTTGAGTATTTGGCTTTTTCCCTAGTTGAAAACACGCCAGTCGGGCAACCAGCCACTCCCATTTCACCTGAAGTGGGATTTTGTTTTGGAGTGTTTCTTTCCTTGCCAGGTGGCGTTCGGCGTTCGCGTTTTCATTTCGCAGACGTCGTACGCCTCGTATGGTATAAATGCTGAGATGCGTTTACGTTGGGTCAGGTTCGCACCAGATAGCGGTCAAGAAGCTATCTGGGACAGCCCTGTACTGATGAGAGCCAAGAGCTCGAAACCGGTCTGCAGGTAGTCAGCGTTCCTGAACCACTTAAGCGCAGCTCAGCGTTTAGGAAGGAAACACTTGCGATTTTATTCGTTTGTACGAACTATCGCATAGGTTTCGGGAGGATGTAATGCAATGTTCTGCGTGGCATAAAGCCAGGAAAGTAGTTGTTTTCCTCTCGTTATCTACCATTGTCGTTCATTTTATGAACTAGTTGTGGTAATGACTTTGAGTTTCTCTCTTTGTGACCAATGCATTCCACTTTGAGTATTTGGCTTTTTCCCTAGTTGAAAACACGCCAGTCGGGCAACCAGCCACTCCCATTTCACCTGAAGTGGGATTTTGTTTTGGAGTGTTTCTTTCCTTGCCAGGTGGCGTTCGGCGTTCGCGTTTTCATTGCGCAGACGTCGTACGCCTCGTATGGTATAAATGCTGAGATGCGTTTACGTTGGGTCAGGTTCGCACCAGATAGCGGTCAAGAAGCTATCTGGGACAGCCCTGTACTGATGAGAGCCAAGAGCTCGAAACCGGTCTGCAGGTAGTCAGCGTTCCTGAACCACTTAAGCGCAGCTCAGCGTTTAGGAAGGAAACACTTGCGATTTTATTCGTTTGTACGAACTATCGCATAGGTTTCGGGAGGATGTAATGCAATGTTCTGCGTGGCATATAGCCAGGAAAGTAGTTGTTTTCCTCTCGTTATCTACCATTGTCGTTCATTTTATGAACTAGTTGTGGTAATGACTTTGAGTTTCTCTCTTTGTGATAACATTATTTGTTCACAAGAATCAATCAAGATGTCATTATTTTTACTTACTTTGAACAGGTACATGTAGTCCGCCTGGTAGGCTCCACAAAATCCCAATTACCATTGAATTCTTTGTCTTGTTGTTGGCTTGCAGTGGGTGTGTTCAAAATACATTCTTGCCAAGTTCGCTCAGGTAAAACGGTAGCAGCAGTTTGTTCTCTTGACATGGAATTGAAGTGTTCTACAGATATCTGAGAAAAATATGTTTACGTTAAAAAGTTGCTACTAAAAAATTACCCAATTACCATCTATTTATATCAATAAGTTCAACTTTAATTTCTATAATTAATCATGATATTACCACCATGTCATCAGGCTGTCAACATATCAACTCATTGAAATCGAGATATACCAATATATTTTGGGCTTGTTCAGTCAGTTTTGCAATGTGGACAAGTTTTTAACCAGTGGTGTCTGGAATCATCTGAGACTACCCCCACCCCGACGCCGCGAGTACATGGTGGGCCCACGGTCAACCTTCTGATCGTATGAGATTTGGTCTTCCATTAGTTCCATTAATGGTCTATAGATCAGTGTTGTGTTTACCGGTGTGAAGCTAGCAGCCATTTCCTAGCGGCCAGTTTTCACCTAGCAGCCAAACCACCAGTGGCGTCGGATTTTGAAAAAAATATATTTTAATCCACCTTTATTATGAAAAGAGGATATTTAATGGAAAATACATGTTTCTGTGCTTGAGAAATGACATACAGAGATGATTCAGACTAATTTAGACTGACTCAGAAATCATGAGCCTACTTAAGTGATTAGACGTTCAAAAATGTAGAGCCATGTTGTAATTCAGTACCAGCGTTACTAGAAAGCTCTAGAATTTGTAATTGTAATTGTTCTATCCGTCATTCGGTTGCCCCTTCCGAGCAACCCTCAGAAGTCTTCGAGATACTTGTGCGAGCAAGGAATGACGAGGGCCTTACCTATTAACGTGTGATCCCAAACACTTTCTTGGGCCATCAGAAAGCAGTAGCGGGAATTGAACCCACGACCGGCAAGCGAATGCGGATTAGAATACTGACACTCTGTCCGCACGGCTACCTGGCCCCCTTGATGATGTGTGAGAAGATTATTGAAGAGCAGGTCGTCAAAGGGGTAGTTATCACCCCTCAAAACATCAAAAAAATCATAATATACCTTCAATAATGTTTAGCCAAGTTGAGATTCGGTAAAATCATTATTGAAGAGCCCTAGAATGATGTGTGAGGAAATGATTGATTGGCAGGCTGTCGGAGGGGTAGTCATCAACCCTCAAAATATCAAAAAAATTATAATATACCTTCAAAAATGTTTAGCCAGGTTGAAATTTGGTTCAAGCATTACTGAAGAGCTCTTGAATAATTGTGTTCCAGGATGATTGATTGGCAGGCCGTCAAAGGGGTAGTTATCACCCCTCAACAGATGAAAAAAATCATAATATACCTTCAAAAATGTTTAGCCAAGTTGAAATCCAGTACAAGAATTACTAAAGAGCCCTAGAATGATGTGTGAGGAAATGATTGATTGGCAGGCCGTCTAAGGGGTAGTTATCACCCCTCAAAATATCAAAAAAATCATAATGAACCATCAAAAATGTTTAGCCAAGTTGAAATTTGGCACAAGCATTACTAAAGAGCCCTAGAATGATGTGTGCGAGGATGATTGATTGGCAGGCCGTCTAAGGGGTAGTCATCACTCACCGTATGCGGTCCAGGCTGCGCCACCCGCCCATTCACCCTCACCGGACTGGGCGGCGGCGTCTGCACCTCCACCACCTCCCCGCGCTTCTCCCCCTGCCCGCACCCCCTCTCGCCTTCGCCGTGGAGCAGCGCCGCGTTGCTCGCGTCGTCCGTGTCGGACAGCATGACGTAGCAGGAGGGATAGCGCATCTTCACTCCGCCCACCACCACCTCGACGGCGCTGCCATCGCCGAGGCCGAGGGACTTGTCCACCGGGTAAAAGTGGCTCCAGTCGTCGAGTAGGCGGGCGGTGGCCTCGGGCGACTTGTAGGTGTGGCCGGTGAGGGTGCCGGCGAGACCGAACGGGGCGAGGATGACTGGAAGAGAAGAAGAAGTATGATAAGTACAGGGTTGTCCATAGATATATGTATTTACGTTATTTTTTATCGGGAAATAACAAACTATATGCGGAAGTTGAATGCCTTACCGCAACCCTTATCAGAAGATTCTCTGAATTTACTAAGCCTAGTATTTTCACAGTTTATTACAATGATTTTGTACACAAACATACTGTGGCCAGTCAAGCGAAACTGAGAACAGGTGTCCCTGGTATACTATCGAAGTTGTCGTTCCTACCGAGGTAATGCAATAAATTTACTAAGGCTGAAAATCATTATATACATTGTATATTGCATATGAATGAAAGTTATGGAAGTCAGTCAGGTGACTGTGGAGACGGGAGGTGGTCGGTCAGTCAGCCCCAATGTATGCAAAAAATAAATGAATTGCAATTCATTCACTACACTTCAAAATTTTTGTAAGGATATTTGTTGTTTATCAATCATGAAAAAAATGGTCAGTCATCGATTCTGCGGGACAACGTTCGTCAGGCGGCGGCTCGCTCTTTTCTTCAATATTATTCAACGAAATCGATTAATTAGGTCAGTTATTGATTATGATCCAATAGATAATATTGAACTTCCAGTATATTATAATAAACAGAGATTGACAAAGGTATGGAACCATGTGAATATCTCGGTAACGGTTTGTTAGATTGTTGTGAATATATGTACAGGGTGATTTCAAATTATGGCAGATTCGAAAATTCTCTCACCCATGTTGTCACGTTTTTATCACGTAGGATGACCACTTTCGTGCAGTGTGTTCATTTTCAGATATTGTTCCTGAAATTTTCATAATAGTGTTCCATGAGTAGTGAGACACACTGAATGAAGACATACTGAATGTTCAATATTATCTATCGAATTATGATCAATAAATGGCCTAATCAATCGATTTCGTTGAAAAATCACGAAGAAAAGAGCGAGCCGCCGCCTGCAAGGGCGATTGCGCGCACGAAATTTGTATTTGTTTTTTTGCTGACTGACGGGCGACCATTTTTTTCATGATTGATATAACAACAAATATCCTCACAAAAATTTTGAAGTGTATTAAATGAATTGCAATTCATTTATTGTTTGCATACATTGGGGCAGACTGACCAGCTCCCGTCCCCACAGTCAGCTGACTGACTTTCATAACTTTCATTCATATGCAATATACAATGTGTATAATGATTTTCAGCCTTAGTAAATTCATTGCATTACCTAGGTAGGAACGACAACTTCGATAGTATACCAGGGACACCTGTTCTCAGTTTCGCTTGACTGACCACAGTATGTTTGTGTACAAACCCACTGTAATAAACCATAGGAAGGAAGGAATGCTCGAAGTCATCTCCACAAATCTTGATAATATTGTTACTTAATCATGAGGGACATGTTTCGGTTTTATAAAAGACCATCTTCAGCCTAATTGCAAGGTTTGGAGTTGAAAAATTTTTATGATGCTACTATTCATTGAACTGTCAATGCCCATAGCCAAGAATTCCAAAGGTTCAGAAAAAACGGGTTCTCAATAAATGAAGGGCCCTGTGCCCTGAGAGCGCATACTATTGGTTTTTAATGAACATTTCATATACCAGAATGGTATATGAAGGGTATTGTAAAAAAGGTTATTTTTTGACAACACCATAAACTAACGGGTTTTTTAAAAAGGGGTTCCCCGTGCCCATATTAAAGCGCTACTTAAAGGAAAATATCAATAAAATTGATGGGGCGAACAGCCAGCAAGTGTTTAAATCTAAACTCTAGACTCTAGAGGTATATGATATGTTCATTAAAAATCAATAGTATGCTGTCTCAGGGCATGGGGCCCTTAATTTATTGACAACCCGTTTTTTCTGAACCTTTGGAATTCTGGACTATGGGCATTGACAGTTCAAGGGATAGTAGCATCATAAAAAATTTTTCAACTCCAAACCTTTCAATTAGGCTGAGGATGGTCTTTTATAAGACCGAAACATGTCCCTCATGATTAAGTAACAATATCATTGAAATTTGTTGAGATGACTTCGAGCATTCCTTCCTTCCTGTGAAATGTTTCACTCCACTTTGAGCAATATGGACTTCTACCAAAGATTAACCACTGTAATAAACTGTGAAAATACTAGGCTTAGTAAATTCAGAGAATCTCTTTGGCTCTGGCTCTCCGTCTATACCTTTTAGTCCCTGCGTGGAGGCCTGTGCGTGCTGCCCCCGCACCCTGCCCAACCTCCTTACGGGCGGATGCTGCCGCACGTCCACCGAAGCGCACACCGAGCTCTCGCCGTGCACGAAGAACGCGAACGAGAAGCTAAGGTGCGAGTTGCCCGTCGCCTCGAAGCCGCCGCCCGAGCCGCCCGTCCGTCGGCCGCCCTCGCATGGCTGCACGAACCACCTGCCCAGGCGGACGAAGTCGCGCGACAGCAGGCAGCGCTCGATGAGATTGTGCAGCGCCTTGAAGAGCAGTGAGCGGCACTCGTAGGAGAGGCCCGATTCCCAGGAGCCCTGCTCGCAATCTGAAACAAGACAGAAATAAGCATCGTGTCGAGGTTTATTGTTCGTGTATCATTCGAAACCCAGCAGTGGGGTAATCACGTGGAATGTTTGGTGCACATGCTCGAGGAAGTTAGGGGAAGTTCGAGGGGAGTTCGAGAAAGTTTGGGGAATTTAGAGGAAGTCCCGAGGAAGTTTGAGGAAGAACAAGGAAGTTCAAGGAAGTCTAGGTATTGGAATGTTTGACGAAGTTTCAGGAAGTTCGGAGAGATTCTAGGAAGCTTGTGGAGTTTGAGGGTTTGTGAAGTTTGAGGAAGTTTGGAAAGGTCGAGGTAGTTTGGGAAGGTCGAGGTAGTTTGGGAAGGTCGAGGTAGTTTGGGAAGTTCGAGGTAGTTTGGGGAAGTTCGAGGGAATTCTTTCAAGATCGAGGAAGTTCGAGGAGATTTGAGAAAGTCTGATGTACTTTGAAAGTAGTGCGGGAACGTTCTAGAAAGTTTGATAAAGTTCGGGTATGTTCAAGGTAGTTTGGGCATTTGGAAGTTCAAGCGAATTCGAAGAAATTCGGGTAATTTCGAGGAAATTTGAGAAAGTTCAAGGGAGTTTGAGAAGTTTTGTCCCATAGGAAGTTTGGTGTACAAGTTTTTGTGCCGTGATTACCACCTCGGAACCCACTGTACTAATCATGTAAGATCTTGAACTCCAAATGTTACCAAATGAGAAACCTTAAGAAGGTCCCCAAACACTTTGATGTATAATTATCTTCCACTAAAAACTATTCTGCCTGTTATATTTAATTCGAGATTTAATTATAATAATTATAGTTATTATACCTATGTCGTATAGAATTCTCTTTACCAGTTGATGAGACGCGCAAAAAAGAAAGGCTGAGAAAAACATACAGGGTGTCAATCTGAAAACTTCGAATGTTCTGGAAGTAGGGGGATTAGAAGCATCATATTTCAGTGAAAGTGACTCACCCCTTGAACGAGACAGAAAAAATTCTAGTACAGTTAAATGATACTCAATGAGAGCTTCCATTTGAGATATCACAATCAGGGGTAATGTCATTTGACAATCACCTGAATGTGTTGGTTCAAGTTCCCCTTAGCTCCATATTTACAGCTCCTCTGGAAGAACATATTATGATCTAAATATTTCAGAATAATGTGTTTATGTCTTACTGTCAATGCTGTTTGAGTGTCATTTCGTAACTTTCGCCAATGTCCAATAAAAATAATGGTTCTACCGAAAGAGTGGCAACTTGGCAACGCCGGCACCGAGGCGCACGTGGGAGCGAGATCGCGGCGGCACATGGTCAGAGAGAAGGGGGCGCGAATCGATGATGGTGAAACACCAGGGGAAACCAGTCCGGTCGACTGTCACCGTCGAGCGGAACAGCCGATGCCGCAATCGACCTCGAGAACGTCGAGTCGATCGAGCGAGCTACGAGAGCCGGCAACGTCGCCTTTTTATTTCGAGAGCCGGAGACGACTAGATAAGTAGATACTGAGGATTGTCCTTCTCGGCGGCACGGCACACAGGTCGCCCGCCCGACGAGCGGTGTTGCCGGCTCGCTGACTTTTTCCCCCATGTTTTTAATTACTGCAGTTTCTTTGGCAATTTTTAGTCTCGAGAAAAGACATGTGATTATGTGATAGGTCTATAAGGAGATGATAGTGGATGGCAGGATGTAGGTTAAGGACTGATATATGATAATGAAGAAAAGGTAGTTTCATGCTAAAGAAGTTACCTAGTTAAAACACCTTTAGTGAAAAAAATGTAATGGCAGTTGGAATGTAATGGAAAAACGGTGTGTCACCTTCATAAAACAATACCCCTAACCGTGTTTTTAAGTTCAATGAATTTTCCTTTGTTGATCTATGAACCGATTATACCGATTACAAGATTGATATGAAGAAAGCAAAATATTACCGATTTTGTAGTGAAGGTCGTCAAAGACATCAAATGACGTTTCGATGTCATAATTTAGCGATGAAGAACAAATGATTAAGTCTTTAGTAATTAAGAGTTAGACTTATATTTCCGATTGCTAATTGTCATCAGATGACCTTGAGAAACGCCAATGAATTTTATGAATTATAAATACTTAATGATGGTGATACGTGATACCGACTGTGTCCGATATTCCGGCTTTTTACTTCCCCACCCAAATCCAACAGTTTTTCAAGCAATCGTTCATTGTTGTTTTCTCAGAATTTTTAAATCCAATAAATAACACGGTAATTATGATAAAATTCGAATTATTGAAATTTAATGGAAGTTGAAAACGAGCTAAAATAACGGTAGAATTATTGAAATAAAAAAATATAGTGATGAGAATAACGCACTAAAGAACCTAAGCCAACCCTAACCTACTTTTATTAGTTTGTTTCATTTTATATAATTGATTCCTTCATTTGAAATGATTGGACCCAATTGTCTTCTTATTGACAAGACGATAATGATCTCGAGATCAAGATATATCGAAGATCAAGATACTATGCAGTTATAAGAAAGCATACTTGGTTTGTTATTGATTCTGTTGGCAACACCGCTCACGACTCGATTTATTGGCCCGAATAGAAATTATAAGAATGCGGTTGTTTTGGGGTTCGCTTTGCTCACAGCTTGCTTACAGCATACACCAGCATACCTGGTTTTTGTTAACAGTCAAGTTTACACAGAATGTTTCTGATTGCCTACATATTTGACTGCCGCAGAGATCAGATGCAATTGACTAATTGACCATATTTCACGTGATTTCACTTAGAAAGACTTATTTTGAGACATTTTGTGCTATATCCTATATCTTTGTATCATTTGTGCATTGTCTGAAAACGAAAGTAACGTCAATTTTATTCACATTAGACGCACATTTGTAACCAATCTCACCATACGATATCTCTAACCCTTGAGAATTTGGCCACTCGACCGTAAAGTTAGACCTACACCTTTCCAGTTGTATTTCAGAAAGTATAAATTGAATTTCAGAATGGTCAATTGAATTTCAGAAAGCGCCAATTGTATTTCGGAATAGTCACTTGTATTTCCTCAGCAATAGAAAGATGGTTGTCAAAGTAAGAGATACTATTTCCGGTTCTCATATTATGAATAATAGAGTTCCTCAGGGGTCTGTACTGGAACCGCTAATATTTCTACTATTCATAAATGACTTACCAGTTCACTCGTTTTCAACGAACATGTCACGGTTGGACGGTATGAGCGCTCTTATTGCAGCGGTGATCAAGGGAGCTGACACCGTCCATGTGCGACATGATCTCTGAAGACGAGTGTACACTTGAAATCGCAACTACTAACGATACCTCACTGGCGGTCTTTCCGCAGACTTCAGAGGAACTCATATCATCTATTGAAAATACTATAAATTCTTTTGTGAATTGGTGTAAATGTAATGGTTTAATGGTCAATATCGATAAGACAGAATGCATATACTTTCATTCCAATAATATTCTATCCATCTTATCTTCTCTAACATGCCGAATCGAAAGTAATATAATTGAATCGTCCACAACCACAATGTTTTTGGGCTTACATATCGATTCAAATTTCAGGTTAGGTTAGGTCAGCAAGTTAACGCAGTCAATATAGAATTGAATAAGGCATTCTATGCGATTTCAACAATAATTTAAGTTCGCATGCCCACCAATGCAGTAATAAGCGTCTACTACGTGTACTAATTTATGTTATAATTTAATTTTATGGGAAATTCCTTAGAAGCCAATGAAATATTTGTAACACAAAAAAAAATTATAAGAAAAATGTTCAGAGAAACGAGTCCACATTTTTAAAAATAAGATGTCTTTCTACAGCATATACATATACCAGAGTATTTTGTATGTGAGATGTGAGGAAAAATATTGATACATTGCTACCAGAAAGTCTGATCACTTATGTGTTCCAGCACACAAAACTGGAGGATAGTTTTAGATATATGGAAATGAAAATGTATAATACACTTCCACTAAATACTAGATTCAGTGGTTTCAAAGAGACAATAAAACTTATGATGACCAATAAATGTTACTATAGTCTAGAGCTAGAGGAATACCTCCAGGATAGCTTGTTAGAACCTCTTTTATTTGTGCCGCCTGTACTTTTGTTATATACATATATTTTTTTTAATATGTGATAAATTTTTTCTAATTGTAAACACACTTCTTAGAGTAAGTTATTGACTTGTCCTATATACAGGGTGTTTCATAATTGAATGCTGATCCTAAAGGGCGATAATCCTGGGATGATTTCAAGAAAAATTCTTCATGTAAGCATAGGTCCGTAACGGCTTCGTTTCTGAGATACAGGATGTTGAAATTTAACAAAAAAATCAGTTATTCCCCAATATCTCTGAAACCGCTCTGGTTTTTTTCTTCATTACAAATACTTAAAAATAGTTACCATAAAATTATAAAAATATTGCTTAGATCTTTTGGTTACCACAATTGTGAAATTATGACTAAGAGTAAAAATCGAATAGGGACAAGCAAATGAATGCATTTTATTTTCTAACTCAAAAACCGTTCGCCGGACGAAAAAAAGACAGTGGCGTATTATTATTTTGATGAAAAATATGACAGGGTATGTTAACAGGGACGCCACTGATGGAAATTAAGAAATCCTTCATTATGGAAAAAATGTATTTTTATTCATACTTGGCATGTACCAAAATTGAAGAAAAAAGCCAAAGCGGTTTCAGAGATATTGGGAAATAACTGATTTTTTTGTTAAATTTCAACATCCTGTATCTCAGAAACGAAGCTGTTACGGGCCTATGTTCACATGAAGAATTTTCCTTAAAATCATCCAAGGATTATCGCCCTTTGGGATCAGCATTCAATTATGAAACACCCTGTATTCTTGTAATATCACAAAGGATAAATAAATATTTCTATTTCTATTTCAGAAAGCGTCAATAGAATTTCAGAAAACGTCAATTCTATTCCAAATATTGATTCCAAATGATATTTTCTGAAATACAAATAAAACTTTCTGAAATTCAATTGACTTTTCTG